TTTGGTTTCATTCTTATTCCTTGGAGCAATTCTACATGGTTTAAAATTGTTTAGGAGCACAACACATAGCTTGTCTTTCGATTGTTCATCTAATATGTGCTAAAGTCCAAATTGTAGATAATTTCTCCTGAATATCACCTTTGAAAATGACTCTCACATTCATGTGATGTCATCTTTCAAGTGATATTTTTTATTCTAAAATTAATGTGCATGTTTCCTACAAGTATTCCATACTTGTGTGCACAAATTGAGAAAGGTTACTCTACAAGTTGGATGCTTTGAGACTAACATATTTTCAAGCTTATCATGTGTATAGTAGTCTCATTGCAAGAAAATGGAGTCCCCGAGTTAAGCATCGTACTTCAAATATCCACCACCAATTGCAAGTGGTAGAAATCAAATTGATTTCCATATATGGTATTTCTAAACCGATATCATCACGATGATTTCATTTCAATATTTATATGCTTTCTCCATGCATTATATAGATTAAATTCTCTTGAGCAATAATTTACCAATTATGCATATGCTTTTGCCTTGTACCATATGTATGCATATATTTAGGGGGCTTAGTGTATATAATGTGAGAGTCAAATTTTGTGACCTATTCGACTCTACATACAAAGGTTCACAAAGTTTGACCCTCCCTTGTGCTACTAATGTCTTCCTTTTGGTGCTTGATTCAAGGAAGAGAATTTAGAGGACCAAAAGCAAGCATTAATTTGTAGGACCAAAAGCTAGATCATAATAATTTATAAGTAGTAATGGTCTACAAGTGGTAATGGTCCGAGAAAGGGAGGATAGTGGATCACAGATTAGTCTATGTAATGGGGAGAATTTATAGGAAGCAAGGCTTAAATCCATAATACCACATGAGGATTTTTGTAAGGGCAAGATAAGTTTTCAAGTGGTATCTTCTAGTCTTACAAGTAGTATCTTTTAGCATCATATAACCTTGTCCCTTGCATTGCGTCCTAGCAAGTAGAGAGTTTTTTAAATTCAAATTTTTATTATTTGCTTGCTTTGGTCGTGTTGTCATCAATCACCAAAAAAGTGGGAGATTGTAAGAAAAATGGACCCTAGGCTCATTTACTTTAAATTTTGGTGTTTGATGACCAACATAACCAAATTGGACTAATGAATTTGCAAGTGATTGTTTTGTAGTTCAATAGGGTGCAAGGCGTGACTTGAGGCGAAGGCAACATGATGATCCGATGATCAACATCATAAGCAAGACCTAGGAGCACAAAGAAGATCTAAAATATCAAGGAAAGTCAAGTACGAAGATAGGAACCAAAGCCGTCACGCAAGATCGCTTGAAGAAAGCGACCTCTCGGAAGGTGTTGAACATTTGGCGAGGAAAATGGCCGGGACGCTTCCGATCAAGAGGCTAAACAACGGCGGCGGTGACCGGACTGACTGGACCGGACGCTGAGTGCGAAATCGGTCAACATCGATGGAGTTCTAGAAGCTGATTTTGTGTTGGACACGTCCGATCGGTCTTGACCGGCGTCCGGTCGATGTGACGCATGGATTTCGTCCCCTAGCGGCTACTTTCGATTGGGGCATATAAATAGACCCTCAACCCGGTCATTTTGAGGCTGTGTAGAGTGAGAAACATATCAAGGGTGTTGATACACCATTTAGTGATCTCCACTTGCATAGTGCTTAGTGATTCATTAGGTGATTAGCGTAGGTGATTTGCGAAGTGCTTAGATTGATTAGACCACCGCTTATGCGCTTGCTCTAGGTTTAGGCCTAGTGTTTAGTGAGGTTTGCATACCTTTTATCATTCGGTGCTTGCGGCGCTTTCATTGTTGTACATCGGAGGGCTTGTAGTCTTGCGAGATCACACCAACGCGGTTGTGGTGTGGCGCCACCATGTCTGAAGAAGGAAACAAGGCCCATGACGTTTGACCGGAAGCTTGATAGTGAAGGCGGCGGGGAGCATCCGGGAGAGGTTTGCGGAAGGCACGTCGGAGACCACTTGCGCATGGGAAGGCCGAGGCTATCCACGGAGTTACCCGATCGGGAGCTTGGCCCTTGCGAAGTTCCTTGCGAGGAGCTCCAGCGAGGACTAGGGGAAGCTTGCGTGCTTCTTGATACTTGGTAAAAATACCGGGTCGTCGATAATTCGCATTTACATTGATTGTATTACTCCTTTTGCGGTAGAGATAGCAACACACTAGCAAAACCGTAGTTGCACATTTAGATAGTTTATCTTTGCATAGGCTTTGCTAAGGTTAGAAAAAAGAGGCCATAGTTTAGAGTTAGATTTTTAAGTTGCCTAATTCAAATCCCCTCTTAGGCGTCACGGTCCCCCTACGACATATAATGGATCGGGTTGACCTTATCCATAAAAAGCAAGGCCAATGGGCCACTAGGGCCCGACCTCAAAGTCTAAAATTAATGGGGTCAATATGGTGGGAACCTATTGACCCAATAGATCGATGGGTCGATCAATCATCATATAAAACATTTTTTCTTAATTTGTTGACTTTTTTGTTATTCAGAATAAATCTGAAAAATATAACAAATTATAACCGATGGAGTTAGAGGTCGGCAGTTCGTTGTTGAGGATGGCAACGATGGAGTGTGAGGGCTTCACTTTTTGTTTAGCATTACACAGTACCGTCCACAACACGCCGCATTACACTCGTCCTTATGAACACTGCGTATGTGAACCCTGTCCTGTGAGGGCCATCGCTTTTATTACGCGTGATATAACGAACTGAGTAGCCGCTAGCGAGAGGTGATAAATGGCTACTGCTTGTGTTGATCATGCGACCACTAGCAAGAGTGCAAGACCGTATGTGTGTATGCTCAGCTAGTCAACATCCTGTGAGTCTGTTTGTTTTCAGTTGTTACTCACACCATGTTGTGCTTTAGTCACAACATGGCGGAATCTACGCTATTTAATGGTACCCAGGGAAGCAGCTGGATCTTCCATCGTTCCATGCTGCTCGGTTATTTAGCCTTTTGTCTAAGAGAAAAATATTTTATAGATATCCACTACCTATTGCATATCGGATATTGATCATATCATATTTTGTATCAACCGGAGATATTTGTATCTGAATATCTATCAAATAAATCTGAATTTTGTATCGATATCATGGGCCACCTGTGGTACCCGTGGCCCGAATGGGCATGGGTTTGGGCATAAAATTAAACCTGTGATAGGTCATGAGTTTTTTAGTGAGCAGATTTTATTTTCACGGGCATGGGTTTAGGCCAAAACCCAGCGGGTTTATGCCCGTTGCCATCTCTAGCTACTCATACCGTTATATCAGAGGTGGGGCCAAGAGGTTGTCGGAGAAGCCTTCTGTCACCGAAATGGGAGCTTATAGGAGTGTCCACGCCATTGCAGCAGAGTCTCCTCACCACTATTCCGTAATTGCAAACTCACCTCTTTGACATCGGGTGGCGAACAAAGTAGCAAGCGAACAATGCTTAAACACGTCACTTTTGCAACACCTCTCACACCCAAATCATGGGTGACAACGCAAGACCAACCATCGAAGATAGCAGCTTAGCTTTGTCGCCTCACTCGCTCTTGGACCAATTATCTATTCCTGTGATCCCGCGTTGTTCGAGTCACTCATTCCCAGGACACCTGCAATTAATGTACAACCATGCTTGATGTCTCCGTCCACTGACATATGGGAAAAAAAAGATCATGGCCCGTTAAACTTGTCTTAAAAATGGCTTGTTAGAACGCTTTTTCGGTAGAACAGTGTTTTTCTCTCACAACAATTCAGCCAGAACAGTGTTTTTCAGCAAGTTTCAGACCAGCGATGCTTGATACCGTAACTGATCATGATTGGTTTCACCTTCTAATCAACCAACGACAACAATAGGGTGTGTAGCAGATGCTAATCCACCATGCTACGCAGGGACCAACATGGAGGAGCCTGAAAAAGGTAGTGGCTCAGTTCACCCAATAACGGTGAAGGTGAACTTGGAGGTGGCAGATACTGAACCACCATGCAACTCACATTGTTGCAGAAACTGGAGTTGATCGACAACACCAATTCTAACATTGCTGCTGCACTGGGTCGTCTTACGGTGGTACAAAGCTTAGATCAATGATCAAGCTCAAAACACACAAGATAGTCAGTGAAAAAGTAGTCAGCTAGGTGATAAAGAAAAGAAAACACAAGGAAAAGAAGCTATCCAATTGGCGCAAGAGATCCTCACAAAGAAATTAGGCAATTTATCACCTACCACAGAAACTAGTAGTTCTGATATGTTTAATAGCTTGGCACGATATTTTGTGCAGCCCTCCCCAGGCAAAGAATGGAAGCACTAATGGCTCAAGAGGTACACCGTATTTTGAGCCGTGGAGAATTTCTAGGAACAAGAGGTTCAAGCTGCTACACCATCATCAGACATCACCTCATCATTCATCACACAAGTTGATTCATGGAGATAAAATCAGATTTAGTTCGACAAAGAAAAGCGCCAAAATGCTAGCCGTAGCAAACCGTCTACAAAAGTATGTTGCAGGGGTCAAATGGCGCATCACCAGTCATTTCACCGTTCTTCAGAAAATGTAGAGAGGTCCATACTTTTAAAACAGTACCAACTGATGGTGACCATCCCTATTTGATTTCTGACAAAAAAGAAGTGCTAAATGAAACTAATGGAGCATGCGCCCAGATAGATTATCTTCAGTAGTTTCTGGACTTGCTGATGATGCTGATAGTCAGCTCACCCCAAACTGCAAACCGATAAATCAAGTGATCAGCACCCGATACAAGAGCACAGAATAGACATAATCTCACGAAGTGTTTGCAGAATCGACCAGAATACAGACCTTAACTTGTTCCAGTGAGGCGCAGGATCTTATCTTGGCGACTTCTGTGCCTTCCATTGCTTCAGAACATGCTGTATGGCTTCCGTTATGCTGGCCTTTCGGTTCTCTTTGTTGTTCCAGAGTTCAGATACCACGTAGCTGCCGCTAGCGTTGTACTCATTGATCTCCAGCAATGCGGTAGTCACAGCCTTGTAGACCTCCTCGTAAGCTGTTTCTTCAAGCCCACCAGCTTCTCATCCTTGTCATTGAGGATTTGCTGAAACATAACACATCAGGTTAGTGTTGCAAATTTGCCAAGCTGCGAGACAATGAGTCCTCTTGGAGTGACTGATTAATGCAGTTATTTGAGGTTTAAACAGTTAATAAGCTACATTGAATCAGATGGCGACAGTAAGGCGAAATATTGACATTGCTAGGTATTGCCAGAAAATTTGAAGGAAGATAAAAGATGTGCATTTGTTTCATTGGGCATACCTCTGTAGTTGAGCCTGTGGTCACTATCTTGAAAGGATGCCAATTAGGGTCCTTCAGATGCTCTTGCCACAAGGAGACAAATTCAGCAGCTTTCATTTCAGCATCTTCTCCATACCTTTGCTTGCAAGATAGAACAAAGGGCTTCTCATCCAGTTCACCCATCCTCTTGATTCCAATATTGCTCACGAGGACCTAATAAATCTGCCAAACCCTGCAAAATATCCACACAAACACTCTGAGGCAGAGTCAAAAGGACAGGAAGGCTTATTTGAAGGAACCTATGTCTAAAGAAGGCATGGATCTAAACATGATAAAATTAGGAAGAATATCTAACTAGGTATGTCTCTGCAGATTTTCTGAAAATATACTGCAATATGGTATTACTGTGATCAACTCTTTCTTTGCATCTTGAATCTCATAATTGGTCATCCTTTCTTTAACAACAAGAGTTTGATTGAGAGCTTCAAGATCTTCCATCTCTTCAATTCTTTCATTCAGTTCTGCTGCCAGCTCCTCAGAACGTTTCTTCACATCAACACCCTCTCCTTCCATGTGTTTCACCACCTCCAGTTTGCCTTTAAGTTGTTCAATATCTAGCTCCAGCTTTTGCTTTTCATCCACCTGCCTTTCTAACTGCAGGATTTTGTTCAGAGCGTCCTCCTTATCTTTCTGTTTTGAGTTTTGGAACCCAAATAAGTTGGGGTGCATGAAAACTAAAAGAAAACTCAAGAAAAAGGAAGGATGTGCATACCTTATGTTTCTCAAGAAGCTGTAGCGCCCGTTGATCAGCTTTCTGTTGCTCAATTCTAGCCATGTTGAGGGAATCGTTTTGGTCAGCATTCTGCAGGGAAATAAGTACAAAAGATAGGTATCAATAAATTATTCATTATTGGCAGGACTATGAATCAATACAGAAACTATCTGAAATGTGATAGTGATAAAGAAGACATGTAAAATAAAGAGAGAATTCCCTATCCACCATTGAAAATAGTTGTTGTTCCTTCTCTGCCATCGTAAAGTTAAAATTTTGTTGTAGACCATAGATGTTGATGATTTTTGTTATTACTTTGATGCACAGGATGGATCCTAATTCTAGTTATTTACTCGAAATCAGACTTTTTGGTAATCCCAAAAAAATTAGAAAAGATTGTTCTAGTTTTGTGATTGAGAAGGTTTTGGACTCAGATACAACAAACTTTAAGGACTTTGTTGAATGGATGGTAGTCGACAAGCACCCGCCAAGTGTTTCCAGAAGCTGAACATAGGGAGTGTAAGTTCCATTTGGTGACCAACTTTAAGAAGTACAGAGGTAAGGTATTTGATGATCACCTTTCGGCAGGAGCCTACTCATGGCACCCACACTTCTTTGAGAAGCATTGGTCAGCAATGGAGCAAGCGAAATCGGCAGCAACTGAATATCTTAGGAATTCGTGCAAAATGTTGTGGACTAGAAGCCAATTTTCATCTATATGCAAGGTTGACTATGTAACCAACAATCTAGCAGAGAGCTTCAACAATTGGATAAAGCGGTATAAGTCCATGAACTTGGACAACAATGGACAAGACCAGACAAGTGCTTATGGTAAAGTGGAACCAAAGGACAAAAGTTGCCATGAAGTTGGAAGGTTCGATTCTACCCCACATCATCAAGAAATGGAATGAAAGGAGCAGGGACTTAGACATGGATGTCTTGGAGTGCTCGAGTGAAGTTGGTGAGGTATCTGTACTAAGTGGTAGTGGCTTTAGGTGTGTTGTAAACTTCAAGGTAGGACCTGCACTTGTAGAAAATGGCAGGTTTGTGGCATCCCTTGCGTCCATGCTATTGTTTTTATCACATCGTTGACCATGTGGACTCCTATTATTCTGTACAAAAATTTAGAGATGCATATGATCACCTAATCCCAGCGATGCCAGACAAGTCCCAATGGCCCAAAGGTTGCCATGGATTCTTCATGCACCCACCCCTTCTAAAAAGCACGGCTGGTAGGAGGAAGACACAAAGGTTTAAAGGCTCTAATGAGACTGGGGGGCAACACAACTAGAAAGAAAGGACAACACAAGTGTCTTATTTGCAAGGACTACGGGCATCATTGGCACAAATGCAAAAAGGGTGACCCAACTGACATTGCAGCAATGATGTCTGTGAGGTACTAACAGACTTTTGTTAGCTTTTCCGGTTATTGGTTATGCAGTTATACATGTTTTCTTTTGGTCAATGCAGAGGACCACCCAAGAAGAAGAGGAGAACCACCATAGCATCCACAGAATCCAGTGTTGTTCCTTTTGATGAAGAAGCACCAGCAAGTTCTATGAGGTTCCCACCAAGGTTTGCATGGAAAAAATGCTGTGAATTCCTTTTGTTTCCATGAATTTTTTATCCAAATTATAACTCACTTCATTTTGGTACAGCCAAAACATTGACATCTTAAGTTCTGGAAAGGAAAAAAACTAAAAAAGGCACCTCAAGTTGCATCTAACAAAAAAAGGCAAAGGCAAAGTTGACAACTCAAGTTCTGGAAAATCTTTGAGGTAAAATATCAAATCTGATTGTGTACATGTACTTGTGACTTTTAGTGTGCTGAAAAATATCTCCATGACTTGCTGAACTGAAATGAATATCCACATACATGTTCAGGTGTGGTTCTGGAATTGGCTCAAACCAACCAGAAGCTCTTTCCATTGAGTATCCTATGGCTGGGTCAATTTCACAAGAACAGACACAAGGACAAGATGAAGATGATGCAGCAACCATAGAAAGCAAGAAAATTGCAGCAGCAACCAAAAAAAGCGAAAGGCCTAGAAGGAAGGCAAAGAAGAATCAAAAGGAAGTGGTGGCACTTGACAGCCCAGCCATGTCCACTAGAAGCAAGACAGTGTTGCCTACTAATCCTTCTATGGCCACAAGAAGAAAAAAAGGAGGCTTAGTCTGCGAATCACCTTATTCTAATTTAATATAGAGATGCAAACATGATGTACTGTGAGCATATGCTCCTTTTTGCTTAGTCTCCCGTGAACCAATCTGTATGAATGATTTGGACATTATATATGTACTATGAATGTCAGACTGTTTGTGAACAACCATGTCTGTGATGAATGCTATATAATATGTTAAAATCAGTGATGCGGTATTTTATATATCATTAACATTTGTATTATTATTGTGTGATTATTGGTATGCCAATAACATTCATTTTCTGAAAATTGTATATATCATGATGGCAGGAAAGGAAAATGGAAATACTACCTTAAGGGTATATTGGTCTTTTCCTACACTGACTCACACTGTTAGCAGGTTCACTGGACAGCAGTGTCATGAAGGGATAAAAGTTTAATTTGATGGCTGGTAAGGAAATTTTAACTTTATGATGGCAGAGAAGGAACAACAACTATTTTCAATGGCGGATAGGGAATTCTCTCTAAAATAAACAGGAGCACCAATAGAAATGAGGATGCACCAATACCTTTTTCCTCTCTTCCTCCAGTTTTCTTCTTTCCATGTCAGTTTGAGCAACTTGTTCATTTAGTTCCTTGGACCTCCTTTCGATGCTACTCTCTTTCTCAGCCAACTGTTTTCTCAGTTTTCAGTCTCATGAAAAACTCTCTGTATGCTCACGGGCAGCAGACTGCATATTCCTCATTTCTGTGAAAAGGATAAACAAAAAATACAATAGGCACAATCATTTTAGGCAATATAAATGAGCATAACATCCATAAAGTTCTGACAGGAGAATATTTCACAACTGGAATTCAATGAGTGTACCTTCATTATAACGTTTGTGCAGCAAATCACTTTCTTCCATGACTTTCTGAAGGAGAGATTCATTTGGTTACACTTGCACTCTAGTTCCTGCAGATACTTGCTTTTAGCGGTAATCTGTTGAGTCAAATTAGCTATAAGATTGTCAGTCTTGCTGGACATCTCTTGTTCCAGTTCAGAAACTGTCTTCAGGTCACCATTTGATGACAAGAACCTACCAACTGGGTCATCTGATTTGTAATCCTCTTCTTTTGCCAGCCATCCAAACACATACTTTACATGTTGCTTTGCTTCCTTCAGTCCAGTTTCCCCAAGTGTTGTGACTTGAAATAGTTGTGGAATGCTAAAGGCGTTCTTGAACCCAATCCAATCCTTGGTGAAAAGAACAATGGCGTAGCCAGTATACCCATTGTCACCATACACAGCAGTAACTTGCACGGGTTTGAAATCAGCTAGCTGCTTCATCAGTATGCCTCCACCCCCTGGGTTTGTTCGGCCAGAACATTTGTGAGGATGCCCATCCAGGGCCAAACAAACACTTCCAGATCTTGCACTGGCTTTGGAGGGTTACTTAGCGCAATAGCCTGCCGTGGTGGCAATGTGGCTGCCGCATCAGCATGGTCCTCTTTGAGAAGTTTCGCCAGGGCCTGGTGGTTTGCCTTCACCTTTGCAGCACAGTTGGATGCGCCCACCCCAACAGCGTGCTGAAGCAGCTCGTTGTAACGGTAGTCCTGCTTCTTCTTCCCTGGACAGAATGGGCACCTGAACCTGTCACTGCCCAGCCTTGCCACAAACTTGCCAGCCTTCAGGTCCAAGTATGACTTCTCAGCATAGTCATCAATATCAGTCTCACTTAGCTCTGATGACTCATCAGAGCTGCAGTCCATTGCGGACCTAAGAAAAACAGAAATATCCAGGTCAGAACTTGATTCAAGAACAACAAAATAAGCTGGGCAGACATAAGAAAAAACAGAAATATCCAATGCAGACCTAAGAAAAACAGAAATATCCATTGCGACAGCATATTGTTCTGACAAGATTCAAGAACAACAAATAAGAAAGAACTAGTGTCTAAGAAAATTATAAGGTGGCCAACAATCCCAAAAGGCACCAGCCACCGCCAATCACACCCCAAGCCCAGGCCCGGCACACAAAGCACAATGTACCTCGACCTCGATGACAGGCAGCACCCTAGTGAGGCAATTTCGCGAACAACTTAAGCTGGTGGTCAAAGCAGCCAGCCAGCCAGCCAGCCAGCCACGCCGAGGGTTAGGGGTTCCCCGGCAGTGCCCCGCCCCCAGTGCGCGCACGGAAACCGACATCGACGCCACGGGACGAGACATGGGTGGGGGTCGGCCGGGTCAGCGACCACCCCCAACCCCAAGACGGAGCGTAGAAGCGACCGGACGAGGTCGACGTCAAGTCGCTGCGGCCGCCGGAGCCGGCGGCGGCGACGAAGTGGGTGCAGACAAATGGGAGCCCGGAGCCCCGGACCGTGCGGGGTGTGCTAGGAAGGAAGTGGTGCCAGGCCCATTACGCGTGGGCTTAGTGATGGGCCGGCAATAAAATACGGCCTTATTGTTTTCCCCATGGGCATCGACTAAAAATGATCTGCAGTTGAAAGATGGTGTTTTCTTTCTTAAAAAATGGAAGATCGTGTCGAGATGCAAGAACACACCAAAAAAGAGAGAGAGAGAGAATGAACAGGCAGCAGCAGAATTAGTACGCGTAAATGGAAACTATGCAAGAGAGCACACTTTAGATGCAAGTAAAGCAAACATCGCGTAGAGGTAGTAGAAGACGACGCAACCGCAGGTTAAAGCAAAAAGTGTAGCAGTAGTGACACCGTACCGCATCTCGTTGCAAAAGTGTCGAGAGGGAGAGAAGGCGGTAGAGCTCGTGCACGTACCACTGCTGATCGTGTGCCATCGGTCGATTTGAGCGGAGCGCAGATCGAGGCCGGAGGAGGAGGACGGTGATGTCTCCTAGATGAACCAGCGGTTCGGCGTGTGATATGCAAGTGTAGCCGCCTCCACCTGTAGGAGGAGTGGGAGGGCGATCGAACAGTCAGTTTAATACTTCATGGAGAAGCAATTAATTTCCAAATCCGATCTGCTGCGATCTACTATGAGAAAGCAGTGGTGAATGCAGTTGGAAGAATTCGAATGCCAATCATCGAAGCATATGACCACCAAAGTGCCAAAACCCCCCAAAGAAATTAAGCAGCCAATCAGAAAACCCCAAAGTGCCAAAACCCCCAGCGTGAGCACAGGGATCTGAGCGACGCGCGCGGAGGATAGATCATAGATGGATGGTGGATCAAAACGAGGAAGCAAATAAACACGAAGAAGAAGAAGAGCACAGCGCGGGTATAGCCGCGGTTCCGTCCATGGAGCAGGAGCAGAAGTGCAGGCGCGCGTGGCGTGGCGAGACGAACCATCAGCAGCACGTCCAACAGCTCTCGCTCCAGGTGCGGGCGTGGCGTTCCCAGCATACGCGTTGGCTGGGAGTAGGGACTGTGGGTGGTTGCATGGCTGGAGCGGGAGGACATGGATGCTCGCGCGTGAGCGGCAGAGGCCAGCGGGACGGCGATGCTCAATGCTTTCGTGAATAATGTCAAGACGAAATGAAACAGTCCGCGCCCATGGCCTAATGGATAAGGCGTCTGACTTCTAATCAGGCGATTGTGGGTTCGAGTCCCACTGGGCGTGAATTTGTTTTTTTTTTTTTTAAATACATGTTTTACCCTTCATTTTGACGTTGCTTATATGCTTTTTTTTTTTTACCATTGATATCTTTTTACACCTTTGCGTTGCTTACTTGCTTATGCTTATTTTTCATTTCCACCTTTTCCTTCGTTCACTGTGCTCACAGGAACAACGGGGCCCGTGCTTTACGAAAAGCATGCTCCAACTGCCCAGCGGCAAGGACTGGACGGAACCGATGCACGACCTACTGCTTCTGCTAGTCCTGCCTCCCCCAAAAACGGCAACCCACGCTGCACACCCAGCAGAGCGAGCGACGATTACAAGTCTAGGACAAAACCCTTCGGGGTGTCCGGCTGGAGGAATCTGAAGAGAAAAATACGGCTGGAGGAATCTGAAGAAATTTAGACGGTTTGGAGAAATGCTGGAGAAATTTGTGAGAAAAAAATATTATTCTAGATGAAAAAAAAAGCAGATCAAGCCGGGTTTAAGGGCACGCGAACGAGCCGAAACCCCAGAACACTGCCACTGCCGAGTGAAACGTCAAGGTGGAATAAAGCCAGCGCCAGTGCGCCACCATCTTTCATGCAACTCCTTCGTCAACCGCTACCCACAGATGTTAGAAGACGAGTGGGTGACAGCTGACAGACGCCACCGATACTGTGATACGTAATGGTGGCTTTGAAATGCTGCAGAAGATACGTATGTAATTCCGCCCGACGGCCACGAACGAACAGCGAAAATCATAATGGTACTGCATGTACAAGACGTCGGCAGCATCCTGCTGCGAGTCTCACTATTCATTCAATTACAAACAATGGATGACATAGATCAAGATTCTGGGGCTGCAAATAGCATGCTCCTGCTCCTCCTGCAGCTATTAATACGAGAGGGGGGAAAAAAGATCAAAATCGTAGAAGCCTCAAGAATTCTACAGCAACTCTTGTACATTCGGGCACACTGCCCGTCTGTCTCGCTTCATGTGTTGGTCAAACCAGTCTCCTTGGCTCAAAACCCGTTGTGCCTGTTCCCGGCCTTGGACGACTTCTGCTGCTGTTCCACATCGTGGTTGAAGGCGGCATCCAAGGCCTGCAAACGACATACCATCGGTTTGGTCAGTTCGCTGCCATTTCGATGGGAGAACAATTCATGGAAGCATGTGTCAACTTTGAATGTGGGATTGTGATTCAAATAATGGCATAATGCTCTTAGGTAGGAGTACATGGTAGTGCGAGGAATGTTTACAGACCTGAGTCATGGGCTTTACTAGCGAGATATTTCATGTCTTACATCAGGCTGTGCTGATTCCTTTATAAGCTGCATATTTCACAAGTAACAGAACATACAAAAGAACTTCAATGGTAATTTGAGTATAAACCCAATTTAGGTGACAAGTATGATGGTTCTGCATATCTAAACAGGGGGAGTGGGGCAGATGTCAGATGTACTGGCAAATATTTACCTGCAGCTTTTGATATATCTGTGTCATAGCTTCTTTAACTCTTTGAACCTTCAAAACAAGTAAATTAACATCAAAGCAACTGGCATTAGAAAGAAATGCATGTCCAGAGTGAAGCTTTGCTATACCAAAAAAGACTAAAAAGCATGATATGGCGCACAGCGCACTCAAAGCTTCTCTTCTAGATACCATAAGTTTTTAAAACTGTGTGACAGTCTTCCTGGCTTTAGCTTACGAAACTAGCACCATAACTACAGTGGTACAAAACCTTCAGAACTAGGGCATTCTAACTCATAGTTTGGATAACATACTGTACAACACAACATACAGTATGCTACTTTATAGTTCTCAGTGATGGTTCTCTGACCAAATCAATGCAGCATGCAAAATAAACCGAGCAGCTGAAAACATCTTCTTTTTTCAATGCAAGCTGCTGAAAACATCTAACAGAAGAAACGTTGGTTGATGTGCAAACACTTCCTCTAGTCCTATAAATCAGCTAAGTTTGCACTTATAACATGAAATCAAGAAGTTTGTACTAATTTCCAAATTTTCTTCTTAATATAATGATCGCAGCTCTCCTGCGTGAGCGTGTTCAGATAAAAAAAATCCAATTGAAAACACCATGGGTTACAAAACAGTGCTGATAACGATGGGGAGATATACCTTGTTATAAAGGACTGCACTTGTTATTGGATCGATGACCAAAAATGCCGTAGCAATTCCTGGATAGCCGTCAATGCTGAGAAAATAGATAGTTTACAGAAGTTCCATCGACAAGAGTATCCATACATACAAAACGAAACCAGTAGTGAATACAGCATCTCACATCCATAAGCTCATCCCGTGTATGTTGAGGCAGCTGACCAAGGAGACCTTCTTGAGGATTCTTGAGGTTAAGTCTCCTTGAACGAGAAATCCCTTCATTCAATTCATTAAGAACCTAGGCCCATACCATTTAGGTAGTTAGGATTTCCTGCTCATGCAATTTAATAGCTTAAGAACAGAGAAGCCACAGTAGCAGTAACACAACATCATGCAAACAGTTGCATAAATATGACGAATGGACCTTTACATACACATATTACTAAGAATGGGATACTAATAAACCAAATAACATGTGTTTCCTTCTTCCTCTCTTTTTATATGATCTTTACGTGATACATTTAGGGTTCCAAAGCTCCAGCTCCAAGACCCATGCAGGATTTAGAGCTTGAAAGAAAAGGTCAAGTGATTTAAACATCTGGCATTCAATATAAATGATTCAACACTTCAATAAAATGACCTCAGTTTGGCCACACATCCAACAATACCTGGACCTAGGGATGGTCAGCTCCAAAAATTCTTGGAGTTGGAGCTCTGCCAAACAGGCCTTAGATACTTCCTAATCGCCAATACATCCAACGGTTAACTAATTATGTTGATTACACCAGTGGTAGCCTGCCTTTTACCACTGGCTTCTGTCTGTTCCCAGTTGACTAGTGGACTGAGACTGACAACCATATTTGCAGTCCTGGTGCTGGTTGACCTTTGAAACTTATAATTGGTGACGAACTGATAAAAGGATTCAAGTTGCCTTGCAGTCTTCAAAGTGCCATTATCCTAAACTATGTCTGTGCACTCCTCTTGATTGGACCGCTAACCCAACAATTTATTTAGTGCCGAATCAGCTATTACTCAATACACTGAGTAAACTAAGAAAAAGTAATAAATAAAAGAATCAAACTGCCCAGTAAAATGGTTTACCTTAAGAGCCATATCAGACTGAATAATCGGACAGTTAAGCTTATTAACTTTAATAGAAGACATTTGGTCCATTAAATGATGGAATGCTTCTTCAGTGCTCAAGCTGCAAGTACGAGCTTTTCTTCCGTCATTGCTGCCACCTAGAGATCTCAGAGCATTTGCTTGTTGGGAATCAAAATATTCTTTAGGATCCTAATAAGAAAAAAGAAGACAAATTAATACATTATTTCTTATTTTGGTTGATATATCTACTATTACGCTGTGCGCCTCTTTTGATGACACCAATAGGCGCTTTGTGCAGAGAATCCAAGAATCTGAGGTCAGAGAGGCGTTGAAAAGGATGAAAGGAGGTAAGGCGATGGGACCAGATGGTATCCCAATCGAGGTGGGGAGATGCCTTGGGGACATAGCTATAATATGGCTAACCAAGCTGTTCAACCATATTTTTCGATCGAACAAAATGCCTGACGAGTGGAGGAAAAGTATATTGGTACCGATCTACAAGAATAAAGGGGATATTCAAAGTTGTACTAATTACCGGGGAATTAAGTTGATGAGCCATACTATGAAGCTATGGGAGAGAGTTATCGAGCATCGCTTGAGAGCAATAACGCGGGTCTCTATGAACCAATTTGGTTTCATGCCCGGAAGGTCAACCATGGAAGCTATTTTCTTAATAAGCCAAGTTATGGAGCGGTATAGGGAGAAGAAGAAAGACCTACACATGGTTTTTATTGACTTGGAGAAGGCTTATGATAAAATACCAAGGAATGTTATGTGGTGGGCTTTGGACAAACATAAAGTCCCAACGAAGTACGTCGGGATCATTAAGGATGTGTACAACAATGTTGTGACTAGTATTCGAACAAGTGATGGAGACACGGATGACTTCCCGATTAGGATAGGACTACATCAAGGGTCAGCTTTGAGCCCTTATCTGTTTGCCTTAATGATGGATGAGGTCACAAGGGACATACAAGGAGACATCCCTTGGTGTATGCTTTTCGCGGACGATGTAGTGCTAGTTGATGAAAGCCGGACATGAGTGAATCAGAAACTGGAGTTATGGCGGGAGACTTTGGAGTCCAAAGGTTTTAGACTCAGTAGAAGTGAGTATATGAGATGTGACTTTGGCACTACTACTCGGGAGAAGGAAGATATTAGTTTGGAATGTCAAGTAGTGCCTAGAAAGGATACATTTCGATATTTAGGATCAATGCTACTGTTGCGGCTTAGGGACCGAAGACTGTAGGAGTGGAAGGTGCGGGGCCTGGGCTTGAAGCCTCGATGATGAACTGGCGGCGCCGTGCTCGGCGCCTGGCTGAAGACTTACGGCAAGAGATGGATCATGAACAGTAACGTCCAGGAACCAAGGTGAGATAAACTCAACCCTAGGCTAACCTTTATTGATCCATAGAGTTTGATACATATAGGACTCAACTTAACCAACTATCCCTATCTTTTAGGACTCTTTAATCTCAACTAACCAAACCCTAATGACTATGAATCCCAACTAACCCAACCACAATGCGCCCTGGTGACCCCCCGACTTGGCACGGTTGAGTCTAGCCACTCTGGCGTCTATAGACTTTGCCGCACATGCTTGACTCTGAGAGGCAGGGGATATTGATGAAGATGTTAGCCATAGAATCAAAGCAGAGTGGATGAAGTGGCGTCAAGCATCTGGTGTCCTATGTGACAAAAGGGTACCACAGAAGCTAAAAAGCAAGTTTTATAGGACAGTGATTAAACCTGCTATGTTGTATGGTGCAGAATGTTGACCTACGAAAAGACGACATGTTTAACAGATAAGTGTCGTGGAAATGCGTTATGTTGCGTTAGATTTGCGGTCATACAAGAATGGATCGAGTTGAACGATGATATACGTGATAGATTAGGGGTAGCACCAATTGAAAAAAGCTTGTCCAACACGGTTGAGATGGTTTGGACATGTCCAACGAAGACCTCAAAGACAACTCTGCTTTGTGTAGTGGAATCCTAAGCCGAGGATAATGCGTGAAGAGAGGCGGAGGAAGACCGAAGTTGACTTGGGTAGAGGCAATAAAGGGAGACTTGAAAGGATGGAATATACCCAAAGACTTAGCCTTAGATAGGAGCGCTTGGAAAACAGCTATTCACGTGCATGAACCTTGATTGCTTCTGCTGGGTTTCAACTCTAGCCTACCCCAACTTGTTTGGGACTTAAAGGCTTTGTTGTTGTTGTTATATCTACTATTACGCCATGAGCACAAAAAGCTTTACCTTTATACAAAGTGGGCGCATACACGGAAGGCTTCGTGGAGCTTGCAGATCCTCTATCTCCGTCATTCTAGCCACCTTCACTAGTCTCTCATGATTAGCATCATCAACAATAGAAGTGGAAGGTGGTTCTGCAGTTAATAATTCATCAGAACACAATATATTACATGTGTAAAAAGGATTCAATTGAATTCGATGCCATCTCTAACCTTTCTTGGACCTTACAAGGGCTTCAGCTAAAGTCTTTGGATCAGTCGACTCAACATCTACAAGACAAATAAAACATAGTACACTTAATGGATTGAAAGATAGTTTAAACAATTGGCAGAATGAAAATGAAGAAATAGAAATGCAACATGAAAAAAGAATCTGATCAAACGAAAAAGGGAAAGAATAGACACAACAGAAAGTCACAGAACAATTACTATAAAGGTATAGTTTGCAAACCAAACCAATGGTCCAGGCTAGTCGATTTGTATAATTATGAAAGAGCTATGGCCACAATAAATTATTCAAATGGGTGGCAAACAAAATAATTTAAAATCATTTCACTCTGTTGCTGATGTGCCCTGGAATCCCTGAGAACGGTACCATCTCAAAGTCATAATACTGAGAATGGTACCATCTTACCCCGCTAACATCATAACATGCTTGAGCAATCAATTGTATTAAGGAAAACAAAAAGAGACATCACAAAGTTTCTTGATTAGGTTCATAACTACCAAGAGATCTCCCTTCAAGAACAACAGCTGCATGACGGTTCAGGTCCTGAGACAGCGTCCTCCTCGCCAACTCACTGTCAGCATCGACTGTCTCTTTGTTACCATCACGGTGAATCCCATGGTCCTGAGTGTCCAAACACATAATGATTGAGCAGTAATTTTAACATAGGATGAGCACTTCATTGTCAACAGCAAGCAAATATGCTCAATATGAGAAAGTCTAGAGACCACATTTGTCTTACAAATATAAGAAGATAATAGTAGAAAAAAATCATACCGGAAGATGAATGTAATCATCTCCAGTGTCTGCCTCCATGTCTAATGTTGGATCGACTCGTTTTATCTGCAACCAACAATTGAGTCACTTGAAAGAAATGGCACCAACACATGGTAACAAAAAATGAATTACAACAGCAATCATTGCTAAAACTAAACCTTCATCTTTGCCTCCTTGGCCAGTATATCATCATTCTTCAGGAAGATAGCCAATTCCTCATCTCCAGCAGCCTCAGCTGTTGCTGCTGCAGTGTTTTTTGTCCTAACTAGATACTCGGCTCTACAGTATTTTTCCCAAAATCGGGTTTCTGACATCTATCCTCAGAAAATATAATAAAATGAGAAGATTATGACAGAATACAGCAGAATATATAGAGCATAATGAGAAATCAGCATCGACCATACAGAAACAGTAATAACACTAGGAAAATTTTATGCCTGAATTTTCTACAGTTCATTTTAAGATATTGATAATATAAATAGGTCTTACCTTTTTTGGAACAAAATCTAAATATGCTCTACGGACAGCAGGCTTTTCTGCAAAAATCTGTAAAATGAAAGGATATATGGCGTTAACAAGTTGGAAGAAGTATATCTTCAAGACTTTACATATCAATTCATTGCAAAGTTCAGATATACAATCATGGAATTCAGAACTTGCTTCCGTGAATAATATATGCCTCAGGTATAATGGAGTATTCTTGGGGAAACAGGACCCAGCGCAGATAGGATTCCAAGCAAGGAAGATGGATTTTGCAGCTATGGACTAATCCTAACCTGACTGGCTAGGGTGGAAGCATAATTTTCAGTGTTCCTGCTCAATAATTACCTTTGATCGCATCAAATTCACATGCACACAATGGAAATTATATTTTCAAGATATAAAAATAGCTTAGACCCTGTCTGGTAGGGTTCCTCCCCGACTCCGACTCCGGCTCCGGCTCCTTCAGAGGAGCCCTACCAAAAGTTTTTAGTAGGAGGAGACGTTTGGAGCCGTTTTTTAGTGTAAAAAGGAGGAGCCCTGCCAAACACGCCCTTAATAAAGGATCACGGCATCATGCATGAAAGCTACTAAGGAAACAAAGAAGGTATAGGGCTTGTTACACATTCATATACAGATTCAAAAAATCTTTGAAACCTTTTACTAACAAAAATGTTCAGAAACTCCATAACTCACAAAATGACGTAATTTTCATTTTACAGCATAGTATAGAAATTTTGCAATTATAACAATTCAGGAAATAGAAACAATTGATGTTACCAAGCACTACATAGGTATTAGTTCATGATAAAGAAGCAGAGTGGAAAGGCGGACCTGATGTATCATCTCAGGTGTGATCTGGAAAGTAACTTTGTTTGTCTGAAATGCTCAACATAGAAATAATAAAAAAAAGTTAACTACCATCAGTCATCAGCAAATTCAGTGTCTTAGAATAGAACATAAGAAATAACACTTATCAATACTCTGGTACAGAATTATGGTCTACAGCTACAACAATAGTATTCCAGTGACATACCCGACCATCAGTTGTTGGCTTAATATCTACTAAGCGCATTCTTGAAACCTGGCCTTTGTTTTGATCTTTTATTTGCTTCATCTTCAAGTAAGTTCTGCAAAAGATCGTAAGGAAATAATGGATCAAGTGAAGAAACATAAAGTGCACAGCTAAAATTACTAATCAAGTAACAATATACAGGATAAGTGAGTTTTACCTTTCTTGTTGCCCAAAATTCAGATTCTTGCAGAATATTTCCAAGAACAAACTTCTTATGTAATTTCTGCAATTCGCTGTAAAGGAAATGTTAAATCAACAAAACTGAGAAACATAAGAACATTTTGACTTTTGTTGCATATGATAGTTTGCAGTTTTTTTTTTTTTTTGCCATGTTTTTCTAAGAAATCTATGGACTTTCAAAATCCATACATGTAGCATGTTCCTGAACAGGAACAATTAATAACAGTGGTCAAAGAGATTAAAATGATAAAATCAATGGTATAATTAAAAAACAAAACAGAAACACCATCAGAATTATATGAGAACAGATAGAAGAAAAACTTTGTGCTTCGTTTTAATCCTTTAGGTGTAACACTATACCAGTCATTTCCACTATGGCATCCATACTACCACAGCCAGCTTTCTGATATGACACCATTTGCAACAAAGCTCACCAAAATGAATAATAGAGACTGGTACAAGGTGATGCTCTAAAACTTTCTTTATCTACAAGAGCATAGGGAAAACCAAATCTATGTTTTACAAAAGAAAATCTTAAAGATCACTAATCAACCAAACATCATCTCAAAGAATGTAAATAAGCTCAACAAATTCTAGCAGATTAAATTTGTGCCCATATGAACTATCATCAGAACTTCATATTTCTGTGACCAAAAGAAATAGTCTGGATATATCAAATAATCACATTACCTGTCTTCTCGCAACAGTTTCACCCGTCTCTCCACTTCAGCAGCACTGAGTTGTTCCAGAGCAGCAGAAGCAACTGAGTTTTCAGGAGTCACAGTTGGTCTAGGAGGCACTATCCCTTGATGTTTGCCTAAAACCCTAGCTGCAAGGAGGATGTATTAAGTTATGGATGCATCTTATTGGGTAATAGATGCACACGAAACTCAATATGGTAGCTTTCATGTGAGTCAGTGCCATAGCGAACTTGGCACAGCAAATAACCCTTAATCCAGAATTTTATTATATTCCTTATAAAATGGTCACTGTTATGTTATAGTGATCTATCTTATCTTATGTAGCAAGCCAAATGCTAGGTCTGGCTGGAATGAGGTACCTAGTCAAATTCTTATATTGCAAGTAACTGGCATAGGAGATAAGTTTATGCAAGAAACAGCTAAATACTTCACGTTACTTTCATTTCATGCCTACATTAGATATAAAAGGCGTACCAGTCAGAGAGCTCCCGCTCTGTGTGCGGGGTCTGGGAAAGGTGTCGATGTAAGCCTTACCTCGCTGTGTGCAATCTTGAGGAGGCATGACTCGAACCCGGGACCTTCCGGTCACAGGCGGTAAGACTACCGCTTGCACCAGGCCCGCCCTTCCATGCCTACATTAGATATCTTACAAAGAAAATATTTAACTGTTCTGTTGGCATCGACTAACTACAAAATGAACATTACCTACAAAGTCGCGAGATAGGTCGCGGTTACCAACATTGTCAAACTCAAATATGTAGCCTCCAGCCTGAGAAAAAAAAATATATGCATCTCACACTAACTTTGAAAACAATTAGAAATAAGGCAGAGAAAATGCTATAAATTGCTCAAACCTTGTCTTCTTTTGAAAGGTTCAATAATGCTGCTTTGTTACCCTCTACTTTGTTGAACTTGTGACCTGGAGCACAGGCAACAAACCCAGCTGTTTCAGTATGCATGAAACACTATCACAGCTTAAATTGTTGTCTTGAGTCTAGTGATCATTTATCTGAGGTTAAATAGTTTAGAATGACCCTGCAGTAGATATGTTATAGGTATGTGAAGATAAGTTCCATAGTTAGTTAGGTATATTTAACAAGCTTTAAGCCAAATCACCAGCATAACAACAGAACTTTGATGGAGGAAAGTAAGTGCATACCTTTGATGGTCCGGAAATCAACATTGAACTTCATTGCCGACCGTGGATCATTAGGGGTGAAGGTGAACCTATCATCGTTCTGTAATTATAAAAAAAAACAACGAACTGATCATATTTGGATACAACAGGGTATTTCTGAGCAAGGAAACGAAGCCAGACGCAAATGCAAATGGCACTAAAATTGAACAGCAAACTAAATGGTGACCATCCATACATGAAAAATGCTCAAATTAGCTCGTCCCTCCGCATCCGAACCTCCAGGATGCAGAGGGCAACCCACAAAGCTACCCCTGCCCCGTGGCTCGGATTTGCTACCGCCGATGAGCACAAACCCGCGCGCGCCTCCACCTCCACCGATCCAATCAGCGGCTAGTCTCCACCGGTCCCTCGATTCAATATTTGCCGCGGGCCCCAGAAGCCGCCGACCAAAACCCCCGCCCGCAACAGCGGCGCACCCCGGAGCCTGCTAGCGAACCGTGCGCGCACGCCGGGAGGAGAGGGAGGGGAGGGAGAGCCGCGCGGAGTGGGAAGGAAGGGGAGGGGAGGAGGGTGGCACGCACCATGCGGAGGATGCCTGGGGTGCCGGGGTCCTTGATCGTGGTCTTGTACTTGGCACCGATCGTCAGGGACCCCATCGCCACAACCGCCGCCGCGGTGGCTCCCCTCGCGGTCTCGCTCGCCGGCGTCGGAGCAAAGCCGAAGGTGCGGGGAAAAAGGGCTTAGGCAGCAAGCCTACAAGTAGAAGCAGGCTGCAGGCTAGTGTGATTTCGGCGCGATGGGCTGGGCCGTGGGCCCGCGATTCGGTCCAGGACGGCCCATTTAATGAAGGAGAAGTGGGCCGTCTTCCGTCCAGTCTCCAATGCTCTGCAGCTCCCTGTCTCCGTCGTCGTCTTCCTCCGTTCCTCGTCTCGTGTGATCGCATTCGCATCTCGGACATCGGTCGGAGACGGAGAGGGAGGTATATGGGAATGAAGAAGGAAGAGCTGGACTACGTGCTGGTGCCGCTGGGGCTGGCGGTGATGACCGGGTACCACGCGTGGCTGCTCCTCCGCGTCCGCCGGCAGCCGGCGACCACCGTCATCGGCGTGAACGCCATCAACCGCCGCATCTGGGTTCGTCACATCATGGAGGTGGGATCCATTTCTTCTCCACGTCATATCGCGCGCTCTTAAACTTCGGATCATATGCATGGATGCATGCACCCACGCACAGTCCCACACGATCCATCCCATTTTTTCCCTGGCATGCATTTGCACCTTTTTTTTTGAGAAATTTTCCTGTTTCATGATTGCCAATCAATCAACCAAACGAACAAAAACCAAATTTTCAAGCCAAGAAGTGATGAAGTGGAGCAGAAATCCCAGGGTTGAGTTTATTGATCCTTGCAGTAATTTGCTTGGCTGAATTCGCAGGAGCCATCCGGGAAGCACGCGGTGCTGGCGGTGCAGACGATCCGCAACAACATCATGGCGTCGACGCTGCTGGCGTCGACAGCCATCACCCTGAGCTCCCTGATCGCGGTCCTCATGTCCAGCGGCGGTGGAGGCGCCACCGCCGCCTCCAACAACAACAACAGCAACGGCGGCCTCCTCCCGGGCGCGCCGCTGGTGGTGGGCGCGACGGGCGCGCCGGCGCTGTCGGCCAAGTTCTTCGCGATCCTGGTGTGCTTCCTGGTAGCGTTCCTCCTCAACGTGCAGTCCATCCGGTACTACAGCCACGCGAGCGTGCTTGTGAACGTGCCGCCGCCGCCGGCGGCGGCGGCGGCGCACCGGCACCGCTGCGGCCGGGCCGTCGGGTACGTCACGGACATGCTAAACCGCGGCAGCTACTTCTGGTCGCTCGGCGCGCGCGCGTTCTACTTCTCCTGCCCCGTCTTCCTCTGGCTCTTCGGGCCGATCCCGATGTTCGTGGCGTGCGTCGCGTTGGTCTGCGCGCTCTACTTCCTCGACGTGTGCAAGGACTGGGAGGAGGAAGGCGACGGCCATGGCCACTGTCATTGTATTAGTGATGACGAGAGGTCAAGACAAGGGAAGGATGCAGAGCAGCAAGTGTAGAGATGAATGTGCTAGCCTGCTAGTCATTTTAGGCTACAAGCAAATAATTTTTCGAGATATAGGCCCCGTTCCCTGGTCTAAAACTTAGTTGAAACTGGCTGATTGTCGTGAGAGAGAAACACTATAGTGACTGAAACTGGCCGGTTGTTGTGAGGAGGAGCAGCCGGCTGGTCTGGTAAAACCAGACCAGCGAACGCAGCCATACTGGCTACTGATGAAGTGACACTTGAGAGTGAGTGGATCCGACACATAGGTTGCATATATATATATATACATAGGAGTATAGGACCAGCTTGAAATACCACGGCTAGCAGAGACGGCGCGGGCGCTAAGAACCTGGAGCAAACTGCTTTTCAGCAATGCACGCCTGCAGCTATACATTGCAAATGAGGTCATTTTCAGATTGGATGTTGCCCAAGAAAGCAGACGGCTATCAGAAGAAGAGAATATTCTACGGCAAGATCTCAAAATTAGGATATTGGGCTTAGCAGCGATTGAGAGTAGGAGAAGACATACGTCTAGACTAAACTTTATCAAGGCAGGAGACGCATGTACAAGATTCTTCCACCTGGAGATGGCAGCCAGGAAGAGAAGACAGTATATACCTTCACTCAAAAAACAGGATGGCACCTTGGTGTGGGCTCACGATGAAAAACAACGGGTCCTCCAAGACTTTTCCCAGGACCTAATTGGAAAGAAGATACACAGAACACAGACCTTCCAATGGCCACAGCTGCAGCTAAACGCACTGGTCTAGCTACCTGGCCTCGAACTTAACAGGCCCTTCACATAAAATGAGATTCAGCAGTCAATAAGAGATCTTCCCAGTGAGAAGGTGCCTGGCCCGGATGGTTTTACCAATGATTTTTACAAGCATTGCTGGGAAATCATCAAGCCAGATGTTCTCGCCGCTTTTCATGCTTTCTACATACAACACGATGGTGCTCTGGAACACCTTAACCGAGCACAGGTGGTGCTGCTCCCCAAGAAGGAAATTGCGACGGAGCCAAAGGATTTCAGACCGATAAGTCTCATCCACTCCTTTGCAAAGTTACTGACAAAGGTGATGACGAATAGATTGGCGATGTATATAGATAAGCTAACCTCTGCCTCTCAAAGTGCTTTCATTAAAAGGAGATGCATACAGGAAAACTTCTTGTATGTCAGGGGGCTCGCGCGGCACTACCACCGCACAAGAACACCTGCCTGCCTCATCAAACTCGACATAACCAAAGCATTTGACTCGGTATCATGGGAGTACCTGATTGAACTGCTTGCCAAAAGGGGATTTTCGACAAGATGGCTGGACTGGCTGACAGAGATCCTCAGTACATCGTCCTCGGCAATACTACTCAATGGTTGCCCAGGTGACAACATCAGGCACCGAAGAGGTCTCAGGCAGGGTGATCCACTATCACCCTACCTGTTCATATTGGCAATCGATGTACTTAATAACATCTTTGACATTGCCACGTAGCAAGGCTTCCTATCAAAACTAAAAGGTAGACATGCAAGCCTCCGAATATCGATGTATGCTGATGATGCGGTAATCTTCAGTAACCCAAGAAGACAGGACATTATCTGCATCATGGAGATCCTCAATGCTTTTGGTGCAGCCACTGGATTACAGATAAACATGCAAAAGAGCATTGTGGCACCGATTAGATGTGTGGACCTAGATATGGAATAGATACTACAAGACTTCCCTGGACCAAGAGTGGCTTTTCCAATGCAATACTTAGGACTGCCTCTCACACTTGGAAGGTTAAGAATGGTGCACCTGCAATACATCCAAGATAGAGCTAAAGATAGGGTGGCTGGCAGGCAAGGGCAACTGCTGAATGTTGCTGGACGCATGGAGTTGGTGCGCTCTGTGCTTAGCTCCCTGCCAGTTTACCTGCTGACGGCTATGAAGGTAACCAAAAATTTCTTGAAAGAACTAGACAAACTTCGTAGAAGATTCTTGTGGGCTGGAGACAAGGAGCTAATTGGAGGGAAATGCAAGGTTGCATGGAACCAGGTATGTACACCAACAGACAATGGTGGTCTAGGCATCATCGAACTAGAAAGGTTCAGTCGTGCCCTGCGGCTTTGGTGGCTCTAGTTCTCGTGGGACGACACTGACAGACCCTGGAGAGGAATGGAGTTGCCGGTTGACAATAGTGACATTGCACTCTTCAATGCTGCTACAAGTGTGGTCTTAGGAAATGGAAAAAATGCTAAGTTCTGGTCATCTCGCTGGCTACATGGTCAAACACCTGCAACATTATACTCGGCCTTGTTCAGACATAGCAAGAGGAAGAACAGAATAGTTTGTGATGCCCTGGACGATGAAAACTGGATCAGAGATGTCGACTACAGCATGACAGAGCGAGTGGTCGAGGAATTTATATCACTATGGACTTGCTTACAAGAAATCTTTGTCCAGTCGGCAAATGAGGATAGGATCAGCTGGCTACACACAGCGGATGGACAGTACACAGCAAGATCGGCATATAGAATGCAATTCCTTGGAATGTCCTCATCCATGACAGCTAAAATCACATGGAAAACAAAGGCGCCGCCAAAATGCTAATTCTTCACTTGGCTTATGCTTATGCTACAAAACCGCGTTTGGACAGCTGCAAGGCTAATGCTTAGGCAATGGCCAAATGAATATTTCTGCCAACTCTGTGTGAGGAACCTGGAGACGGTCTCACACCTCTTTCAAGAGTGTGGCTACTCGAGGAGTGTCTGGGACAAGGTGGGCTCCTAGATCTCGGCGGCTGCCCTAAGGCCGACACACTGGACATAGAGGGGAGATCTAGGACAATGGTATGCTTATGACCAACAGTGGAACAAGAGATGCAAGCGAAGGGGTACGCTCGATGATCATGCTGACAGCTTGGAAAATATGGAAGGAAAGGAACAATCGGGTGTTTCAAAGATCCTCCAGAACGCTGGAGCAAGTATTCAGAGCCATACAAGACGAAGCAAGGACGTGGGTACGGCCCGGAAATAGAGGACTAGAAGAACTGTTGCCTTCACTGGAGCAGCCTCCTGTAGATGCTATAAATCCTTTGTAAGATGTAACTCTAAAACGCAGGGGTGGCATGACTTTCACTGGGATGTGAAAGCCATGCAATTTGGCGATCCTTGTGCCAAACCTTTGTAAATAATATGCTCTTCCCTTATCAATAAAAGCCGGTAACGGATCTTTCGAAAAAAAAGAAATACCAAACCAAATGCTTGATTTAATTTTTCTTTATTCGTTTATTGTCTTCCAATCTATCAGCAATGCAAAAGAAGCTGTAAATGATCAGATATTGCAATTGAAATTAACCATGTAAAAATGAAAGATTTAGGCAGAATTATTGCAAATATCCATTTTTTAAAGGACGACGGCAGGACATCACCTACATTTAACACCACACACAAGTTCAATGCCGCTCTGGATGAAACTTTTTTAAAGGACAATGCCGCTCTGGTTTTTTTTTTTCAAACATCACCTACGTTTAACACCACACACAAGTCCAATCATGTTTTTTTTCTAGAGAACAAACATTATTGCAGATTGCTGATAAAAAATGAAAGAATGAAATATCTTAGGGTCTACTGCATATAGATGTCCATAACGCTTATTATATATTTGGGCTAGCTCTAGGTTGTGGAAGGAACAATAATGGTACGTATATTTGATTATAGTTGGCCATGGAGCCCGAGCCTGTCGGCCCGGCCCAAGGCCCGTTTTTTTTTGCCCGGCCCAGGCACGGAGGCTAGCGGGCCCGGGCTGGCCCGGCCCGGAGGAGCAAGCTGTGCCTGGGCCTTACCCCAGGCATGTGGGCCGACACGGCCCGGCCTGCTACAGAGCCGGTGGCCCGCTGGCGGCCCGGGCAGCCGGCCTGCTAAGAGCCGGCCCGCGCAGTCCCCTCCCCTCCCCTCCCCACGCCCGAACCCTATCGCCTCCTCCTAGCCTCCTCGCCTCCCCACGCAGCCGCCTCCTCCTCGCCTTCCCACGCGGCCACCTCCCAGCCCCCGCGCCCACCTCCTCCTCGCCTCCCCACGCCGCCGCGGCGCACGCGCCGGCCTCGAGCACGCCCGCAGCCGCCCTCCTCCCCCAAGGCCCCCGCGCGGTGGTTGGCCTCGAGCCCCCGTCCCCGAACCCTAAATCCTCACCTCCCAGCTCACGCTTCCCTCTCCCCTCTTCCCCGGCGCAGGGCGGCTCTCCCTCTCCCTCACCCCGAATCCTAGAGCCGGCGCCGCAGACGGACGCCCCCTCCCCTTCCCTCACGCCCACGGCGGCTCTCCCTCTCCCTCACCCCGAACCCTAGAGCCGGCCCCGTGGACGCCCCCTCCCCTTCCCTCGCGTCGGGCGAGGCGAGCGAGAGCGGACGCAGGACCGGGAGTTCAGGATGCCTCCTCCCTCTCCTCGGTGTCCTCGACTCCTCGCGCGACCTCTCCTCTCCTTGCAGCGCCGACGGCCGAGCACGGACGCCGACGCCCCTTGCCCCTCCTTCTCCTCGAGTGACGCCACTGCGTGAGCGAGCGCGCCGGCCCCGAGCTCTGCCCCGACGCAGATCCGGCGGCCACCTCCTCCCCCAAGGCCACCTCCTCGCCTCCCCATGCGGCCGCAGCGCACGCTTCAGCCTCGAGCACGCCAGTAGCCGCTCTCCTCCCCCAAGGCCCCCGCGCGGTGGCTGGCCTCGAGCCCCCGCCACTCCTCCACGGCCCCTGCGTCCCGACGACGACGACCCTGCCTGCTCCCGACGACTCAGTGGGCCTCGGGCTGGCACGGCCTGTGAAAATGGCCGTGTTTCTCGGGCCGGGCCGGCACGAAAATCAGCCCATAGGGCCGTGCCTGGGCCGAAGGCCAGGCCCATGGCCCTGTGAGGCACGGCCCGGGAGGCACGGCGTGCCGTGCCGGCCCGTTGGCTATCGGGCCGTGCTGGCATGGGCTCGGGCTGGCCCGTTGGCCATCTATGTATTTGATGAAGCTTCTAGTATACATCTGCAATCATTTCAGTCATCAATTGCTCTTATAGAGCAAAACCTCACTAGCAATTTCTCTTGACTTGCAAGATGTCCACCTCAGTAGTCCACTATTAGTTGCAATTAAAATTCACTAGCACAAGCAACTATAATATCCACGTTAGCGAGACACATCGGCCCTGTTCGTTTGTCTTATGAGCCGTACTATTTCAGCAAAGGAACAATGTTTTTCTCTCGCAACAAATCAACGAACAGTACTTTCAGCTATGGCTTTTCAACGAAACGAACAGGGCCATCATCCACTAACATACATTTAGCTGTCCACATCAGTATATGCCATGCTATCCACTAATATTAGTTTATAATAGTTAATCTCTTCGTAAGAATGGTATGAATAGTTAAATTTCATTCCAAATCAGTAGTTCCCACAACAACGCACTCTTATAAAGCAAAACCCTACTAACAAATTCTCTTGATATGCAAGGTGTCCACCTCAACAGTCCACTGTCACTTGCAATTAAAATTCACTAGCACAAACAATTATAATATACACGTTAGCGACACACACCATCCACTAACATACATTTAGCTGTCCGCGTCAGTGTGCCACGCTATCCACTAACATTAGTTTATACTCTCTCCGTCCATAAGTCTCTATCATGTAAAAAAACCCGAGTCTCCATCATATTAGATGGAGACCACGGGTTTGACATCTCGTACGTGCTGCGCATTTGGTGCTCATTGGCTGCTCCTTGTCTGTATTTATTGCTCCTTGGCTGCTCCTTGCCTTAAATGCAAATCGGCGTTTTTTACTGCTCCTTGGTCATTACGCCGAAGGCTAATACGATGGAGACTTATGGACGGAGGGAGTAATAGTTAATCTCTTCGTAAGAATTGTATGAATAGTTAGATTTCATTCCAAATCAGTAGTTCTTAAATTTCATTTTAAATCAGTAGTTCCCGCAGCAACACGTGGGGTGTTCTTCTAGTTAACTATATTCCACTCTCCATGTTGGTACTTCTAACACTTAAAGAGCCATATAGTAGGTCATGGCATGGCAAATGTTTACAAACAAATGGCTCGAAGTTAATTAAAAGCCATGAGGTGACTTTGCTCACAATGTTATTACACTTGTGGGATGGTAATTGCACATACTTAGGGCAGTCCCAATGAATGATTTCTAGACGTAGTTTCCAAGAGAAAAAGAGAGTAATTAATATTTAGTAGAAACTACCCTTCCCAACCCATGGCTTCCATAGCAGCGCCCACACAAAGGATAACTTAAATGCAGCATAAAAAAGAGATGGATCAACTGTGACAACTATTCCTGTAGAACATAGGCTGCTACATTTCTAATATTTGTAATTTTTAATAATTATTAATATCTATTTTCCAATGATATATTATTATGATCGGGAGGCCCACACTGGGCGTCCGAGTCCCACACTCTCCCCGTTCCCATTCCTGGCCGTCAGATTACGATCGGGAGGCCCACACTGGGCAGCGCACCAACTGGCGCCGCCGCCGCCCCGCGGCCCCGCCGCCGGAGAGCGCTCCGTCTCCGGCGGCACACCGTCTCCCGTTCTTCCCGCGCCTTCCTTTCCCCGACGGAAGCGGCGCCATGGTCGCCAGTCGCCACGCGCTCGCCATAGGAGCAGGAGCAGCGACTGCGGCCCGCCAGCCTCCGGATGGGTAGCTGTTATGCGCAACAACTGAAGGCGCGCAGAGGGAGACGGAGGAAGGGACCAAACAGGAGGCGAGGGGAATCGGAGGCGGTACGGCTGATGAGCGGGTGAGTGCAATCTCTGCGTAGGTTTCCCATTCGTCTCCCTGAAAATAGTAGCTTCAAAATACTTCGGTTTCCTACTTTCCTTGCTGTATGGTGTAAGTTTGGTTGTACGACGTTTTTCTCTTGGTGGAGGATAGGGTTAGAGTCCTCGTTTTCTTTGTGAACTGTGATTGTGATGTTAAATGTTGATGCAACCACAACCTCATGATTAATACCGTTCTCTCTCTCAAATAAACATCGTTAGAATTATGAGATCGGGCCAAACACTTAATCCCTCGTTGCATAACTTTTTTTTTTTTGGGGGGGGTGGGGATTTGGTTATGCAGCTACTCTGAATCTTGCGTTCTGTACTATTTCCGAGCAGAATATGCATGCTAAGTAAGAATGGGGGTATCCTTGGGAAATTGGTTTCAAGGATCTTGATTGAAGACTTGGGCTGTGAAAATTGCAGAAATTGACAAAACGATACGGCCCCCAATAGGCCAGCAGACTTAATTTTATCAAAATGTGTAGTGAACAGTGAACAGTGTTCATATGCGATGGCATTTGTACTCAACCAACTTATTTCTCACAAGCAAAAGTGCAGTTACATATCTCTTGGGGCATCAAATGCTTGCCAATGAATGTATTGGCAGTGAGATCCTCCCTCCCTTCAGATCTTGACTCCACAGTTGCTTTTACTTTCTGTGCCGCACATCATGATATTAGTCTTTGACTCCTTTGCTTTGCATATGGTACAGTCTGGAGTAAACACAATTGTTTGCCGAGATCAATGTTTCATGGCTGCCCAATTCAATCACCTGCCCTTTATCCATCACGGCAATCACATCTGCGCTTGTGACTGTGGACATTCTATGTGCAATCGTGATGCTTGTGATCTTGCTTGAAAGCTCGCCTTTGTTTTTCCACTCTTTTGCTAGCAGGGAGCTCATCACCACCATCTCAGATTGACCGTCTAGAGCACTTGTCGCTTCATCCAATAGCATTATGGTGGGCCTCTTTAGTATAGCTCTTGCAATGGCAATTCGCTGCTTCTGACCTCCAGAAAGCTGACTTCCTTTGTCCCCAACCACAGTGTCATATCCATTTGACAGGCCACTGATGAACTCATGGATGTTTGCCTCCATTGCAGCCTCAACTATTTCTGATTCTGATGCACCTTCATTACCATAGCTGATGTTCTCTCTAATAGACAAGTTGAACAAGATTGGCTCTTGCTGAACTAGTCCTATGTGCTTTCTCAGGTATCTCAAATTGTAGTCTCGGATGTCCTTACCATCCACAAGCACCTGTCCTTCACAAGGATCATAGAATCTTAGCAGAAGAGCCAACACTGTGGATTTTCCTGAACCACTTGAGCCCACCAATGCCACCTGTTGCCCTGGTTCAATATCTAGATTGAAGCCATCTAGTATGATCACTTCTGGCCTTGAAGTGTAGCTGAAACTGACATCTTGAAACACAACGTCACCCGCTAATCTTTCTTCAGAATGCACTTCTGGAACATCTGGTACAATTCGCGTTTCTCTGTCAAGTATGTCAAGTGCAGGGTCCAATACTGTGATAGCAGACAAGACTAGAGGGATCAATGACCATAGCTCTGTGATGGAAGGTATTGTCATTGCAAATGCTTGGTATGATCGTACACAATCTTTGAATGATGATAGGTTCTTATCAAGTAGCATGATGGTGAAACTCAATGCGATGGCATGTGTCATATGCCACAAACAGAGGGAAGTCCCTTGTACTACACCATATTTGATGCTTTCTACTCTGCTTGTACGCATTGGTTCTTGGAGTGATAAGTCTGCTTTCTTTAGTATTTCATCTTCCTGAACAAACGATGCCACGGTTTGAATATTGCTGACAGCCTCTGAAGTAAGGGAAATTAGCTTCCGGTGAGATGTAGAGAAGTCAGTGGCAAAACCTTTTGCAGACCTGACTTGTACAATGCCAGCAAAGAAGTGGAATGGCATCAAAGTCCATGCAACAAGACCCATCCTCCAGTTCACTACTGTGCTCAACACTGTGGTTATTACAATTGAAGAGATACATTGGACAATGAGAGACATCCGATCAGATATGATGGTTTTAATCATGGAGGTGTCACCGATGATACGTGAGGTTAGAAAGCCAACGCTGTTCTTTGGTTGTTCAAACCAACCTATTTCATTCCGAAGAATGACTGCGTTCATTGAAGAGAAATGGTGTTATGATTCCGAACAACAACAAATCATATTCTTCTTTGTTAATTGCAATTGTGAGAGACACAAAGTTATGGTCGTCAACAAACCTGAAAAGAGGGCCTCCCTTAGGTTATTCATTGCCCTTTCACCAACCAGGCCATATATATAGTGCTGGAAGATGTTACTGAAAAATGTGAGCAGTCCAATGAGGAATAAAATTACTGAGTACTTGCTGACGATACTCTTTGCATCTGGTTTAATGTATGCTATGCCAACTGTCATGATGTAGAAAGCAAATATAGGCCTTGAAATCCCAGAGATTGCTGCAGCTGTGGAGCCCAGCAGAACCTTCTCCGGGAGCAGTTTAAAAGTTCCAAGGAATATTCTATAGAAAGTTGATCTTCTCTTTCTGATTGCTTGCTTTGGTTGCTCGGTCTGTTCTAGTGTTTTTTCTTGTTCACTAGAAGTGAAAGATGGTTTGTTGTATGTTCCATCTTGTGATTCTTCTTTTTCCTTTTCTTCTTTGACTTGATCAATAAATCTGTTTTACCAATCAAATAAACAAATGAGTAAACTGTACACCAGTTCAATGTAAACCAAGTTAGGTATCATCGATCTAGTTGCAGAAAAGTATATTCTCGGTGTTACATTGTTGCATTTTCAATACAGTGCCATGATGGATTCAATGCGAGAACATTTTACTATGTGGAAAAAAGGTGGTCAATTGATTGCATCTACCTTGTCTTGCTCTTGCCAGAATCCTTCTCCAGATTTTGCATACTGCATATACTTGAGTAGAATTCACTTTTCTCCAGCAATTCTTCGTGTGTTCCAGATTGAGCTACTCTTCCATTCTCCACAAGAACGATCTTGTCTGCATTTATGATTGTTGACATTCTGTGGGCAATTAAGATAACTGTCCTTCCTTGCATAGCTATGTCAAGAGCTTCCTGAACTATCTTCTCAGATTCAGAATCAAGTGCACTTGTCGCTTCATCAAGCAGTAGAATTGGTGGATCTTTTAGAATGGCTCTTGCAATTGCTATTCTTTGTTTCTGACCTCCTGATAATTGTACACCTCTTTCTCCTACCTGTAGTGGTTAATCAAAGAAGCGATGATTGCTATTTTCTACTTCTGGAGTCTAACAAAATTTTATGAAAATTAATAAAGAGCATACGCAGCATATTGCTGCTTCCACATGATTTCTTGGTACTGAGCTTCCTAGCTGACAACAAAACCAATTCTTCAGTGTCCAGCTTAATTTTTCTGGCTATTAAATATATTAATAATTTCATCCACAACCATGGAAAAAAAAGAAACGAGATTCGGGAGGTGTTCAATGGTCCTTGCTTAAATAAAATAAAATCTCACCTCAGTTGCATATTGGTTTGGAAGTTTGGATATAAAAGAGTGCACATTAGCTGTTTTGGCTGCTTCAATTATCGCTTCATCAGTTGCATCAATTTTGCCAATTCTCAAGTTGTCCATGATGGTACCTGAAAATAGTGATGGCTCTTGGGATACTGAACCTATATTTGTCCGCAGGAACTTCAGATCGAGTGTTTTAATGTCTTGACCATCAATGAGAATCGCGCCTGCATTTTATAACAACTTATTCACAAAAACATTTTTGCAAGAAAACTAGCAGACACAATATTTGACCGTTATATTCTAAGCATAAGTTTCCTTTCCATTTTTTTTGTTTCTGAGTATTGGATTTTGTTTGATATACCCACATTTCATTCCTATGTTTGTGTAGAATTTAATATGTGAAGTGGTCATGCAAGGTTGTATCCTCAAAAACTCTATCTCATAATGTCAAGAACTATTGGACACAACCACATATATACTGATTGAATAGTATATCCATAAATGAATGTTTGTGCAATGATAAGCATGTTCCCTATAATGTTACCTAATATAGGATCGTAGAACCTTTGAACCAGAGAAATCACTGTGCTCTTTCCACATCCACTGCTCCCCACAAGAGCTAAAATATTGCCTGCCTGTATAGCCAGTGAGAAACCTTGGAGAACTGGCTTATCCTCACGGGATGGATATGTGAAGTGCACCTCTTGTATTTCTATACCTCCAGTGACCTTTTCCAAGATTTTTCCCTTTGATTCGTAACTTATTGCTGGATTTCTTTTGATAATCTTAAATACTGCTTTCCCAGCAGCTTTTGCTTGGCTGAAGGCCTGAAGATCTGGTGCTGCATTCGATAGATATCTGAATCACAGACAACTATATAGGATTAATATATATTTGAACATTCGAGTACAAGATAATCATGCAATATCCTACATTGCTGAAAGGAGATTTCTCAGTATTACATTGCACCAGAGAGGACATTAACGACGGCTGCAATTGTTTCACCAGGTTTTGCTTTTCTGTCAATTACAGCAGCTGCTCCAACCCAGATTACCAATGAATATGAACAGAATGTTGCGATCTGTAACATTCCCAAACCTAGACCTTTCGCCATCGACTCTTTCTTGCTTAACGTGTATTGATTATCCATGCAATTGTTGAAAGATTTGATAGCTGACTTTTCTCCAACAAATGAGAAGACGGTCTTTATATGTGCAAGATTCTGTGGACAAATATATCATATGATTACAAATTCAATTTAAACCTACTTAACTTTAACAAGGCATTCATTTGCATAGGTACCTGTTCTACAATAGTGGTTGCTTCAGACACGAAAGATGTTCTTGTGAGGGACATGCGGACCATCATTTTGGCATAAGATGCTCCAACCACGAGGAGCATAGGTACAACTAGAAGAGAGAGCAGGCCAACCTCCCAACAGCACGCGAAGGCAACAATGATGGCAACTAAGAATGTGGAGAAGTTTGACATAAAGTGACCCATCTGAAGAAAATAGTAAGCCAACTTTTAAGATTGGCTATCATCGAGCAAATTTTTGGTACTTCTCTTTGGGTTAGTACTCTTGCAGTGATATACTAGAAGGAAAATTAATACCTTTTCACCAATTGCATCTTGTATGACACTCATGTGATTGGTTGCCCCAGCTATGATATTTGCAGTGGTTAAGTCAGTGTCGAAAGCTCCAATATCTTGACTGAGCACTGATCTCAGATATGCTATCCGCATGCGTGCCATTTGCCTCTGACTTGTATGCATCCAACTTGCAGTTTCTATAGCAGGGCCATTGTGAGTTCGTGACGAAAAGATTAGAGAATTCATGGAAAATACTTAAGCTATTTCATATCATTTCAATTCCCATGATGCTGTGTGATACCGACCGGTGCTCTCCCTCTGATGGATCGCAGGTTGTACGGATGGGTGATTGCGGGACGAGGCTTGAAGATGGATGATCGGCGGCGGGGCGCCGTGGTTTCTCGCGCAAGGAAGAGACGGCGGCGGCTATGGCAACTCCCGGCTCCCTAAGGAAGCCGAGTAAGATTAATACTCTTGCTTAAAATCCAATTGTGCCCGATTATAAGTATTTATACTTCTATGAATAGAATTAGGAAATAAAACTAAATATGCTAACGGGCTGCCTTAGCCGGTAATGGGCTTGCGCCTGGCATACTGCAGCCCGGTCATAACATCTCTTCCCACCCCGACAAACAGCTCGTCCTCGAGCTGGACATCGGGGTAAAGGTTCTTGAAGTCATCGAGCGGTTCCCATGTCGCATCGTCGTCGGGAAGTCCGTGCCATTTGACCAGCAGCATCCAATCACCACGGCGGAGTTGAGCACGCAGAACATGTTCCGGAGCTGGCAGCAGGCGCCCATCCTGAACAGGTGGCACCGCCGCCGTAGTCGTGGGAAGATCACCCCGCCACTGCTTGAGCAAGCCAACATGAAAAACGTCATGGAGACGTGCACCTTCTGGTAGCTGAAGGCGGTAGGCCACCTGGCCTATCCATTCCCTGATCTGGAAAGGCCCAGCGTAGCGCGGCCGCAGCTTGCCCTTTGCCGGCGTGGCAAGAACGTGGGTGGGTCAATGGAGCAGACGAAGGAGTACCCAGTCACCGACGTTGAAGTCCACAGCGCGATGATGCTCGTCGTAGTGGCGCTTGGCATGCTACTGTGCCTGAAGAAGACGCTCCCGGACCTCCACCAAGAAGGCGTCCCGGTCCCGGAGCATGGTGTCCGCGGCCGCCGTGTCAGCGACCACCTCAAACGGCGTCGCCCGGAGCGCCGTGTGGAACGACGTGTTGTAGCAGTACTCCGCCCACGGAAGCCAGTCCACCCATGAGCGCGGCCGGTCGCCGGTCACACAACGAAGGTATATCGCGATCACCTTGTTAACGATCTCAGATTGGCCGTCAGACTGAGGGTGAAACGCCGTGCTCAAACGCAGCTTCACACCTGCAAGCTTAAAGAGGTCACGCCACAGGTTGCTGGTGAAGACCGGATCGCGATCGCTGACGATGGAGTTGGGGAAGCCGTGGAGCCGCACAATCCCGTCGAAGAAGGCACGGGCGACCGAGGCGGCGGTGTAGGGGTGGCTGAGGGCAATGAAGTGAGCGTATTTGGAAAACCGATCCACCACCGTCAAGATCACCGACTTGCCGTGCACCTTGGGAAGACCGTCGATGAAGTCCATGGAGATGTCGGCCCACACCTGGGACGGCACGTCCAGGGGTTGGAGGAGGCTAGCCGGCTGTGTTGTTGGCGTCTTGTTGCGTTGGCACACGTCGCATGAGCGGACGAAATCCTGCACAAGCTTGCGGTCGCCGGGGATGTAGAAATCGCCACGTAGTCGCACCAAGGTCTTCTGAACTCCCTCATGCCTGGCGGTGTGGGCCAGTGCCACCACTTGGTGGCGGAGGTCCCCCAGATCAGGAACGTAGACGCGCTTGTCGTGGAGGAGAAACCCATCCACGGTCCCCCACGGCGCCTCCAGGTGGTTGCCGTCCTGCTGTTGCAGGAGGCCGCGCGCCACGGGGTCATCGGTAGTAGCCTTCCTGATGTCATCGAAGAGGGTGAAGGATGGTCCCGACAAGGCGCACACCGCTGCAGTGTCCTCGTCGCGGCGGGATAGCGCGTCGGCCGCCGAATTGAGGCGTCCCGGACGATACTCCACTGTGAAATCGAACCCGAACAACTTGCTAATCCACTAGTGTTGCGGAATCGTGGAAAGCCGTTGGTCCAGGAGGAACTTCAGACTGTAGTGGTCGGTGCGGACGAGGAAGCGACGCCCCCACAAGTACGGCCTCCAATGTCGCACCGCTTGCACCAAGCCAATTAGCTCGCGTTCATAGGCTGCCAGTTTGACATGGCGTGCAGCGAACGGCCTGCTGAAGAAGGCTAGGGGGCCCGACCCCTGGTGTAGAACAGCGCCAAAGCCCGCGCCCGACGCGTCGCAGTCGACCAGGAACTGGCGCTTGAAGTCCGGCATCTGCAAAACCGGGGCTGACGAGAGAGCCTGCTTGAGGGCGACAAAGGCCTCAGCAGCCTCCGCTGTCCAGACGAACGCCTCCTTGCGCAGGAGACGCGTGAGTGGTGCCGCGATGGAGCCGAAATCGCGGATGAACTTCCGGTAGTAGCCGACGAGCCCGAGGAAACCGCGCACACCCCGTGGGGAGCAAGGCGTCGGCCAAGAGGCGACCGCGGCCACCTTGTCGCTGTCCATAGCGACGCAGTCAGCGGAGATGACGTGGCCGAGATAGGCGACGGAGAGGGACCCAAAGGAGCACTTCGACCTCTTCAGGTAGAGGCCGTGAGCTCGCAAAGCGGTGAAGACCAGGCCCACATGCTGGAGATGCTCGGACCACGACGTGCTGTAGATGAGAATGTCATCGAAGAAAACCAGCACGAACCTGCGGAGAAAGGGCCGGAGGACGTCGTTCATCGGCGCCTGGAAGGTAGCCGGGGCGTTGGACAGCCCAAACGGCATCACCAGGAACTCGAAGTGGCCGTGGTGGGTGCGGAAAGCGGTCTTCTCGACGTCCGTTGGGTGCATGCGCACCTGGTGGTAGCTCGATCGGAGGTCGAGCTTGGTGAAGTAGCGCGCCCCGTGAAGCTCGTCGAGGAGTTCATCAACCACCGGAATTGGAAATTTATCCTTGGACGTTTTGTCATTGAGCGCGCGATAGTCGATGCAGAAGCGCCATGATCCGTCCGCCTTCTTGACAAGTAGCACCGGCGCGGAGAATGGGGATGTACTTGGGCGGATGATGCCCTGCCCCAACATGGCGGCACACTGCCGCTCCAACTCGTCCTTCTGCAGCTGCGGGTACCTGTAAGGGCGCACCGCCACCGGCGCGGTCCCAGGTAGGAGGTGGATGCGGTGGTCGTAGGGCCGCCACGAGGTTCGTCGAAGATGGCCCCGTGCTGCAGTAGTAGTTGTTCCAGCAGCGGGTGCTGCGGGTCAGCCATGACCGCGGCCAGGGGCTGGTGCGTCGTCGGAGCGCCGGGTGGACCCACGCATTGCCACGTCACGCGGCGGCCGTCCTTCTGAAAGGCGACCGTCAGTCCCTCGAAGTCCCAGAGCAGGGGGCCCAACGTCCCGAGGAAATCGACGCCGAGGATGAAGTCGAAACAGCCGAGCGTGAGGCCGATGCAGGTGACGGGGAAGGACTCACCGCCGATGGTGATAGGGACGTCATGGGCGATCCCCTCACACGGCACGCGCTCGCCGTTGGCGACGGTGACAGAAAGGTGGGCGCCCCCCCCCGGAACGAGCCCCAGGCGGCGCATGATGGTTCCCTGGAGGAAGGTGTGGGAGGACCCCGTGTCCAGCAGGGCGAGGAGGTGTTCCCCGTTGATCACAACCGGCAGCAGCAAGGTGTGGTAGGTTCGGATCCCTGCAAGAGCGTACACTGAAACAACAAGGGCATTAACAGTGCCCCCCCCTCCCGGAGGGATCGGCTCCTCGAGCTGTGCAGCCGCGTCAGCGTCCACTGCGGTGAGCCCCTCGTCATCGATGTAGTCTGCGGACTCCAGGTAGAACAAGCGGGGGCACACGTGTCCACGTACATACTGCTCATCGCAGTTATAGCACAAGCCTTGGCGACGTCATTCGAGCATCTCGGCCGACGATAAGCGATGCGAGCAACGACGAAGCGTCGCCGCCGCGCCCGAACTCGCAGAGGTCGGTATTTGGAAGGGCGGCGCGGCGCTGCCGGAGTAATGCACCCCAGAGCCCATCTTTGGAAGAAATTTGGTCGCTGAGGAGGACGGGCGCCACGCTGCGCAGGCACCGCCATGGCCTCGGCGCGACGTTCGAAAGCACGAGCCAAGTACATGGCCGTCTGGAGGTCGCCGGGATCGCGCATCTCCACATCGACGCGAATGTGGTCCGGGAGGCCACCCACGAACAGCTCGGCCTTCTGGCGTGTAGAGATGTCCCGGGCGTGTGCCAGGATTGCCTGGAAGCGACCCGCGAACTCCTCCACCGTAGAGTGAAACGGCAGCCGTCCCAGTTCCGCCAGTCGGGTACCGCGGATAGGAGGCCCGAAACGTTGGCGACACAAGTCCTTGAAACGGTCCCATGGAGGCATGCCCTCGTCTTGCTCGAGGGCGTAATACCACGTCTGGGCCGCTCCAGTGAGGTGGTAGGATGCCATCCATGTGCGTTGCGACGCCGGCGTGAGTTGGCCCCGAAAGAATTGCTCACAATGCGTGAGCCAGTTCAACGGATCCACGGAGCCATCATAAGATGTGAACTCAAGCTTGTGAAATTTTGGGGGCATGCTGCCCTGCGCCTTTCGGCGTGAGTTGGCCCCGAAAGAATTGCTCACAATGCGTGAGCCAGTTCAACGGATCCACGGAGCCATCATAAGATGTGAACTCCGCCTATGGTGGGGCGCCTTTGGTGTCCCAGCATAGCAGGTCCCAAGCCCTGGTAAAGGAGGAGGGTTGTGTTAGGCGTGGCGAGCCAATGTAAAAACTTAGCCACTTAAATGGAGATGAAACCCGAAAGAAAATCGTTGGGCGTAACCCTCTTAGCGACGCGCCATATCCGGAACCGGGTATGGTGTTAAATGGGCAAGGGGCGGGTCGTCACCCCTGTGACGCGCCGTGTCGTGATCTGGGCATGGTGTCAAGTAACCAAGGATCGGGTCGTCGCTTCCTTAGTGGGCGCTACATCGGCGCCGGGTGTAGTGAAAAATGAGCAAGGGTCTTCGCATCGAGTCGACGGGTGCGAAGGGTAAGGAAGCTAGTCAGAACCAACTAGGATCCGTTTAGGTAGTTGGAATGTAGGGTCGCTTACAGGTAAGTTAAGAGAATTAGTTGATACCATGACTAGGAGGCGTGTAAATATATTATGCGTTCAAGAGACTAAATGGAAGGTCGAGAAGGCGAAGGAGGTGGACAATCTGAGGTTTCAAGCTTTGGTACACGAGGACGGTCAGCGAATAGAAATGGAGTAGGAGTTTTGATTGATAAGAGCCTCAAGAATGGTGTGGTGGGAGTGAGAAGACAAGGAGATAGGATTATCTTAGTCAAGCTTGTCGTTGGTGATATGGTCTTGAAGCGTAATTAGTGCGTATGCCCCCAAGTAGGTCTCGACGAGAGTGCTAAGAGACGATTACGGGAAGACTTAGATGGCTTTGGTTAGAGCTATACCTAGTAGTGAGAAGCTTTTATAGGAGATCTTAATGGGCATGTAGGTACTACAATGCTTGAGTTTTCGAGGCGATTCATGGAGGTTTTGGGTATGGTAGTAGGAATCGAGGAGGGAGGAAGTTACGGACTTCATGGTAGCTTTTGACGATGATAGCCAACACTTTCTTTAGAAAGAGAGAATCTCATCTAGTGACCTTGATGGCGGACAACATCAGAGCAGATTGACTTTGTCCTCGCAAGAAGAAAGGACAAACGAGCATGCTTGGATTGCAAGGTGATACCGAGGGGGAGTGTGTTGTTTCTCAACATAAGCTTTTGGTGGCGATTTTCGTTTTCAAAAAGTGCGTGCGTAGGGATAAACAAGCTAAGATTGAAAGAACAAAGTGGTGGAAACCTGAAAGGGGAGGCGTCGAGAGGTATTTAGCGAAAGGGTTATCAAAGAGGGCTCTTGGAAGGAAGAAGACGACATAAACAATATGTGGGACAAGATGGCAACCAACATTAGGAAGGTAGCCTCGAGAGGGTGTGTGGAGTAACCAAAGGAAGGGGCCGCGAGGCTAAAGACACTTGGTGGTGGAGCGAGGAAGTCCAAAGGGCTATTAAGGAGAAGAAAGAATGCTATAGACGCTTGTACCATGACAGAGTGTGGACAACATAGAGAAGTACAAGGTGGCAAAGAAGACTACAAAAGTGTAAGTGTGGCAAAGGGTAGAAGCGTCTGAGGATCTTTATCAACATTTGAGTACTGAAGGAAGGAGAGAAGGACATTTATAGGATGGCTAGGGTTCGTGAGAGAAAGACACGGGACTTCAACCAAGTTAAGTGCATTAAGGATGAAAGGAGCATCTCTTGGTAAAGGAGGATGAGATCCGACATCGATGGCAAGAGTATTTTGACAAATTGTTCAATGGTGAGAATATGGACACAACCTTTCGGTTGGATGACTCTTGATGACACCAATAGGCGCTTTGTGCGGAGAATCCAAGAATCGAGGTCGGAGAGGCGTTGAAAAGGATGAAAGGAGGTAAGGCGATGGGACCGGATGGTATCCCAATCGAGGTGTGGAGATGCCTCGGGGACATAGTTTTGTAGTATGGTTGACCAAGTTGTTCAACCATATTTTTTGATCAAACAAGATGGTGATGAGTGGAGGAGAAGTATATTGGTACCGATCTACAAGAATAAAGGGATATTCAAAGTTGTATAAATTACCGGGAATTAAGTTGATGAGCCATACTATGAAGCTATGGGAGAGAGTTATCGAGCATCGCTTGAGAGCAATAACACGGGTCTCTATGAACCAATTTGGTTTCATGCCGGAAGGTCAACCATGGAAGCCATTTTCTTAATAAGACAAGTTATGGAGGCGGTATAGGGAGAAAAAGAAGGACCTACACATGGTTTTTATTGACTTGAGAAGGCTTATGATAAAATACCAAGGAATGTTATGTGGTGGGCTTTGGACAAACATAAAGTCCCAACGGCACGTCGGGCTCATTAAGGACATGTACAACAATGTTGTGACTAAAGTTGAACAAGTGATGGAGACACACGAATGACTTCCGATTAGGATAGGACTACATCAAAGGTCGACTTTGAGCCCTTATTTGTTTGCTTTAGTGATGGATGAGGTCACAAGGGACATACAAGGGACATCCTTGGTGTATGCTTTTCATGAGACGATGTAGTGCTAGTTGATGAAAGCCGGACGGGAGTGAATCGTAAACCTGGAGTTATGGCGGGAGACTTTGGAGTCCAAAGGTTTTAGACTTAGTAGAACTAAAAGCGAGTATATGAGATGTGACTTGCACTACTACTCGGGAGGAGGAAGATGTTAGTTTGGAAGGTCAAGTAGTGCCTAGGATGGATACCTTTCGATATTTAGGATCAATGCTACTGAGAGGGATGGAGATATTGATGAAGATGTTAGCCATAGAATCAAAGCGGGGTGGATGAAGTGGCGGCAAGCGTCTGGTGTCTGTGTCCTATGTGACAAAAGGGTACCATGAAGCTAAAAGGCAAGTTTTATAGGGACGGCGATTAGACCTCGCTATGTTGTATGGTGTGCGAATGTTGGCCCTCTGAAAAGACGACATATTCAACGACTAAGTGTCGCGGAAATGCGTATGTTGCGTTGGATTTGCGGGCATACAAGAAGGATCGAGTTCGGAACGATGATATACGTGAGAGATTAGGGGTAGCGCCAATTGAAGAAAAGCTTGTCCAACACCGGTTGAGATGGTTTGGACATGTGCAACGGAGACCTTCGGATGCACCGGTGCGTGAGTGGAATTCTAAGTCGGGATAGTAACGCGTGAAGAGGAGAGGAAGACCGAAGTTGACTTGGGTAGAGGCAATAAAAGGAGACTTGAAAGGATGGAATATACCCAAAGACTTAGCCTTAGATGGGAATGCTTGGAAGACAGCTATTCACGTGCCTGAACCTTGATTGTTTCTGTTGGGTTTCAACTCTAGCCTACCCCAACTTGTTTGGGACTTAAAGGCTTTGTTGTTGTTGTTGTTGTATGCTGCCCTGCGCGCCCGCCGGAGCGCCACATTCGAAGGCCCTGTCGTTGGAGCTCGGGACGCTGCTGCCGTGGAAGAGGGTGCCATCCATCCCGCCGTAGAGGGTACCCGATGCCACGGGGCCCCCATGGTCCATTACGTCACCAGTGGAGGCCGTCACGGGGACGTGCGGCCCGGACGGGGCCATGGTATAAACGGGGCTGGGTTGCCCTAGTGCCCATGTCGGAATCGGGGAGGGCGATGGCGGAAATCGGATCATGTGGATCGGAACGTTCGTCGACGGCAGCGGCGTAGAGGTGGAAGACGATGGGCTGGCATCGGCGGGCATCCCGTAGGGGTACGAGATCGGCAGCATCTGTTGGGAAGACGGCAGGGACGGCTGGAGTGGTGCTGCTTGGGTCGGCATCGGCGGATGGAGCTACTGGAGGATGGACTGCATCGTCAGCTGCATCTCCGCCATGCCATGGCTGAGATCGACGATGGCCGCCGTCGTTTGCTCGGGCGTGAAGATGACCCGCGGGGCAGCCGGCGTGCCCATCGGCAGCGACTGTGTCGGCACCATCGCCGACGTGGAGGAGGACGCAGGTGGTGGCGCAGTGGTGGACGAAGCTGGCGGCGCGGGTGCGGCCAACAGCGGCATGGTGGTGGAGGGCAGGGGGATCGACATGGCTGATACCAGGTTGATACCGACCGGTGCTCTCCCTCTGATGGATCGCAGGTTGTACGGATGGGTGATTGCGGGACGAGGCTTGAAGATGGATGATCGGCGGCGGGGCGCCGTGGTTTCTCGCGCAAGGAAGAGACGGCGGCGGCTAGGGCAACTCCCGGCTCCCTAAGGAAGCCGAGTAAGATTAATACTCTTGCTTAAAATCCAATTGTGCCTGATTACAAGTATTTATACTTCTATGAAAAGAATTAGGAAATAAAACTAAATATGCTAACGGGCTGCCTTAGCCGGTAATGGGCTTGCGCCTGGCATACTGCAGCCCGGTCATAACACTGTGTTCTTGCTGCATGTGTGGACAAGTAGTTACATAGGGAATGCCATTATAATTACTATGTATTCCTCTTTCTTACCACCAAATGAATTGTTTTATTTGCATGCTTATTTCTTTTTCAATTTGCTGCTTGCCTGCTACTGTATTCAAACTTCAAAGATAGTTTTTTGGCCAATTATTTTTAGGTGTCCAATAAATGATGTTTGGTTAAATACTACTGCATCCGTCCTGCAAAGAGCTTCAGTATGCTTCATACAAGGCATAATTACCGGTTTGCTTTCTTTGTCTTACATTGTTGATAACATAGGAAAGTTAGAAATTGAAGACTTCACTCACCAATCATTCCGCCAGGAAGGGTAACAATTGCTAAGGTCCACATATATGGAATTAACTGCAAACAGGAACATGTAAAGTAGATAATGTTAGTGAAACAACACTAAAATCAAACAAAAATCAATCAGCAGAATCGAATGGCATTTAACAGGGTAGCTTGAAAATAAATCAGATCTGAGGTAACCTTAGAGAGTTCATGGACTGTGGCCTCGTTATTGCCCATGTTGTTCCCGACCACGTCAAGAGTTTTCCCTAGTATGTAGTACGACATTGAAGGCCCCATGCCATGTATGAAGGACCCCATGGTTCCTGATACCATGAGCAGCCTATCTAGTGCATCCGCGTAGCAAAGCAGGCCAAAGAATGGAAACGATCTGTCTTCAGCCTCTGTTTCTGGCGCCATAGATGCTGCTGGTGTGCTTTTCTTGCCATCTGCAATGTTAGGTTCAGATGACTCAGTGGGCCTATCCTTCTCTTGGATGAGTGGCATTGCTTTTCCCGGATCTTGTGTTAATTTGCAAAAAAGTGAGTAGCCGGCACACTGAATTTTATAGCACTAGTAGCTAGTACACACAATAACAACCACATAGCTACAAATTTGCACGGATGATACTATCAAGATTCATAATTAATTATTCCAGCTCCAGCCTCGAAAAAATAGATTATCTATTGCTCATTTTTTTTTGTTCATGACTCCTTTGCTGACATGCAAGACGATGTCAACCTGCGTATTCAGACATGAAAGTAAACTTTCTTGATGATGTCTCCGACTTTAGTTTTGCAGTAAAAGTCACACCTTTGGGAAATACTAAGCATGAATCATTTGTCCTCGTAACCATATTATAGGGCATGCGGCAACATTGTTTTCATCTACACGTTACATTACTTTACTCCAGCTACAAGTCTAATCCAGAATAGCAATGCCACTTTGCTGTCTGGCATATTTGGAAGCAGAGAAACAACTTCATATTCGACAGAGGTCGGCCTTCTTTCTCTTCTTGGAAAAACCTCTTCCGTGAAGAGGTCAAACTTCAGGCTTTTAGAATAAGGGCAACGTATCATGTGCAAACAAACTAACCTGTGCAAACTTGGAAACTACCAATCAGGACCACTGGATGCTGCCCCCACCCGCCGTCCTTTTTTCTGCTCTTAAGCCCCCTCACCCCATCCATTGGATCAGCATCCAGTGATCTTGATTGGTAGTTTCTAAGTTTGCACACGTCGGTTGGTTTCCACATGATATATTGCATAGAATGAGAGATGATAGATGTGTAGCTTTTCTCCTCTTTAGATCTCCTCTCTTAGGCCTCTCTGGTTTTTGGCCTGCAGTTCCCTTCCCACCGTGGCTACCTCAGCCCTCCGGCTGGTTGGTTTGTTGGGCCTCCCTGGTTTTTGGCCTGCGGTTCCCTTCCCGCTATGGCTACCTTAGCCCTCCGGCTAGTTGGTTTGTTGTTATTTCTCTATCTTTTGTATAGGTTTCTGTTTTTATTTAATAAAATCCTACAGTGAGGGCTTCCCCTGCTGTATTTCCCGTTCAAAAAAAAATGCCACTAAAAGGTTAATCGACACACTAAACTAGTAGACGATGATGCAGCCATCACTAGAACGATAGACCTGTTAAGTAAACATACCCTTCATTGGAGCCCATCGGAGAACTTGTCCACCACGCAGGAAAACCGGCGGCTTGAAGACTTCCAAGTGGTGGAGATGCTGCTGCAGCCAGGGCAGCGAGATTACCGGCGGCCGAAGTGGATCCAATAGCAGGGGCGGCGGGAGCACCGGCGACCAAAGCAGATCGGGCAGCGAGGGCGGCGGGAGCACCCCTGCCTTGCCCTGCCCTGCCTTGCCTGGAACTTGAGGATGGCGGCCGAAGTGGATTCATGTTCTCTGTGATTTCGGAAGGATTGGGGGTGGATGATGCTAGGTCTTGGAATTGGGGGCTTGGAGACCGACAATTTGAGGCCAGGCGAGCACGCGCGGGAGAGCCAGGCGAGCGGGAGAGCCAGCGAGCGGGCGCGGGAAAATGCCGACGCGGCGGCGGGAGAAGCGTGGGGGAAAGGAGGGAACGACGACCGCGCGCGGGAAAGCGGACGCGGGAGCGGGAGCGATGGCGCGGAAGAGTCGAGCGCGCGCGGAGCGAGCGGGCGAGCGCGCCATCTGCTTGGCGGCGGCGGCGGCGGCACACTGGATCCGGATCGAAACTACTCGAGTCTCTCCAATGGCGTTTCCGTGGTTTCTTGGTGCATCGGTGCTAGCGTCGACGTCGTTCGCTCGAGAAGAAATCGTTTCTCCATTTTGTACTCTCTTTTTTCATTAATTCCTATGCCACGTTAGTAAAAAAAATTGAACTGTCAAGACAATTAATAGATAGAAACCATCGTAAATATGATATTGAGACTGTCATTTATCTTATGGTGCTCAATCAGATCATGGATGAATCATTTTGCCCGAGACATGAGGAAGGAAGCATACCACCGAGAGATACACAACCTTGACGGTAAAGTTCGATGGAATTAAGATTTCACATGTTCTCCGCCAAGACAACAATGCAGTAGCTAGATACACTCGCCAAGATGGGGTCCGATCAAGATCAAGATCCCGTCCTGACTGGAGTCTTCCTCCAAGAGTTACATAAGCTATTGATCCAAGTGTACGTGGAGACAGAAACGGAAACGAAGAATGGAGGTCCAAGCGACGAGACATAACATGAGCATGAAGTCATGGTCATCAAACGTGGCTCGACTTAGCCTTACCTCAACTACGACCTCCTACGAGAAACACAAACACTCCCACGGGATATGAAGCTGCTGCCAGGTGCATGCCAAGTCATACACCCGTGGTCAAGGGCAAGCAACCGTATCTGCCCACCAACCGTTTCGCCCGCGCGATCCACCTCGGGCCCCGTGCCCCTCTAGCTTCCCTGAATCCCCAGGTACGGCAAGCAGGCAGGCGCACACGGGCCCACGAGTGAGCGTCAGAATGCTACCCTACGCGCACAGTAAGTCAGTAAACCACGCGCTAATCACTCCGTGTCAAGGAATAATCCCGCGAGTCGCAAGATAATGACCATCCCAACCTATCAAATTCCGCCCCCGCACCACTGCCACTGACGTGATAGGACCGTAGGAGCACTTGCGGTGCGGGAATGGAAAGACTGAGAGCTAGAAAGGAGGGGGCACCATGTGGACGCCCCGGGGCTCTAACTGCCTGCTTCCAAATGTGGAGGGCGAGTCCTACAAAACCGTGGCCCGTTTCACGGTAAAGGATGGCTGCCAATATCCTTGCAAATTTATCATATCACAATGGTCATAGTTGTATATACTGCTGGTAGTATGATTATACTATATATTGGCACATCGTACTTCTGAGGTGAAGAAGGCTCTGGAGTAGAAATTTTGGAGGGTTGAATTCGTAAAGAAATTTTTTCTGTGAGAGCTTTTGGAACAAATAATGCTTTCCAACAGATCCTTTGGATTCGGCTATTCCAAAAGAATTTGGGGGAAGAGAGATTAGGTTCAACCTTATTGTTTTGCTTTCTATATTTTCCAATGTTGCTTCTAAAGGTTTCTTTCTAAACTTTCCCTTACATCACGATTTGATGTGTCATGGTATATGTATATCCTATATTTTTTTCTTTCTTTTCATACCTGTGTTCCAAATGAGACATGAACAAAAACAACAAGCTAGTGTGGTTTCGCCATAATGGGTTGGGCCGTTATTATTTAGCTATGGCAGTCCCATTTAATCAACAGAGAAGTGAAGAATACATAAATCATATTTCTGATTTTTATGAATACTTTTTAGTTTTTTCTATACATATTAAGCTTTAAAAACTTAGGATGATTGACACATGATATTTATTGGCTGATGCCTTATATGGATCTAAGGTTTTAGGGAAAAAACCCATGAATGAGTTTGCAAAACAGAAAAAACAAACATAAAATTTGTAGAATATTTTCTAAGAGAATTAGGTGTTCGAATCAATCGTGGTAGGAAAAACACAATAATAACATGAGGTTTGAATAGATGTTTTTCCACGATTTTTGTGTGAAATCAAACATAAAAGAAAGTTACCTACGTTTTTTATGCAAGCAATTTATGCGAAAAATCTAACTCTCTAACTCATCCATAGCATTGAAAATCCTTTCTTTTTCTTGTTTTTCCTACAATCCAAAGGGTGGCCTAAGAATCATAAATAGCCGCCACTCATAATTTTATTTTGAAAATATTATTATGACATTCGTTAATGATATTTTATAGGTGTTTTTTAATACAATTGATTAAGTTATCGATATTTGTAATTTTTAATATTTATTAATATCTATTTTTCAATGATATATTCAACCTGTTCGCTTGTTAGTTTTAGCCAGCCAAAACCAGCCGATCAACAGTGTTTTTCTTAAAAAAAAAGCACCAGCCTCCCCAACACACACACACACACCAGCGAACAGCCCATTATTACGATCGGGAGGCCCGACACCGTCTCCCGTTCTTCGCTAGCCGGAAACAACTGAAGGAGCGCGGAGGGAGACGGAGGAAGGGACCAAACAGGAGGCGAGGGGAATCGGAGGCGGTACGGCTGATGAGCGGGTGAGTGCAATCTCTGCGTAGGTTTCCCATTCGTCTCCCTGAAAATAGTAGCTTCAAAATACTTCGGTTTCCTACTTTCCTTGCTGTATGGTGTAAGTTTGGTTGTACGACGTTTTTCTCTTGGTGGAGGATAGGGTTAGAGTCCTCGTTTTCTTTGTGAACTGTGATTGTGATGTTAAATGTTGATGCAACCACAACCTCATGATTAATACCGTTCTCTCTCTCAAATAAACATCGTTAGAATTATGAGATTGGGCCAAACACTTTGTCCCTCGTTGCATAACTTCTTCTCTCTTTTTTTGGGGGGGCGGGGATTTGGTTATGCAGCTACTCTGAATCTTGCGTTCTGTACTATTTCCGAGCAGAATATGCATGCTAAGAAGTAAGAATGGGGGTATCCTTGGGAAATTGGTTTCAAGGATCTTGATTGAAGACTTGGGCTGTGAAAATTGCAGAAATTGACAAAACGATACGGCCCCTAATAGGCCAAAGCAGACTTAATTGAGACTTTTCCATCGTGTATTGCCATTATAAAAGATCGTAATCCATACATGCCTGGGAAAAATTCAGCGGTCTTGAGCGCCACTACTCCAACTTTTCGGGTCCTCCATGCCACTTCAAATCGAGGTTCGAGGCTTTGGCGCGTCGTCAAAATTATTTTCATTTAAGTGAAAAAAAAAAAAAATTTGATATAAGTTCAAATATGTTATTAATTTTTGAGCATCTTAGCGACTTCAAATAAAAAAACTCAAAACTAGAAAGTTGTAGATCTCATCGAGATCTATAATTTTCATATAAAAATTATTTTCATTTAATTCATAAAAAAAAAATATGATTTGATATGATTAATATATCTTTGAAAATCATCATATTTTTTCGAAATTTTCAAAATCAATTTTA